AACTTAGTCAAGTTTAGAAACACTGTTGTTTGGGAGAACTTCCTCTGTCTAATTTATGCACAAGTTGACGGTTAATTACAGAATAGTCATTGGAATTGCTGACATTATCAGGCCATTGGATAGATTAACAAGACTCACAAAGTGAACATAAAGGTCAGAGAGGACTTCCCAGGAGGTCCAGGGGTTAGGACTCCATGCTTCCACTGCAGGAGGCATGGGCACGGCTTCAATCCCTGGTTGCAGACTAAAATCCTGCATGCCACATGCCACTCCCCAAAAAGCCTGGTCACCTAGGGGTTAGAGCTCTGGTCCAGTTCAATTCCTGGTTAGGGTATTGAGATCCTGAATTTTATGATTTTAGTTCATTAAGCACTGATACAAAACACCAGCTTCTTTTCTTTTCTGATCATAACACTCCCTCCCTACCACACATGCAGCGGACAGGCCTCTGGCCACAGTTGAGACAAGCAGAGGAGATGGAACCACTCACGCCCCAGAAAAGGCGTGGATTCCCGCTTCCTGATGATCGCATGATTGATTTTTTCTGATTAAGACAGTTTCTGGAACATTTATGTAATAGTCGTGTTTTCCAATGGGTGTTTTCTTTCCTGCTGAAAAGGCATTCTGAGAGTGAGAGCATTCCCTGTTCAGTTCTTGGAAAAGCTAATTGAGTTATAGGGATTCTCAGCAACTTGTTTTTCTCCTCTCAGCACTGATGCAGCGTGCCCTCCCTGGTCCCTCAGATCCCTCCCATCCTAGTTAAGGAAACACACATGACAGGGCCCTGGGGATGAGCCCTTTTCCATGATTTCCAGACTTCTCAATCCCACACATCAACAACTGCTTCAGAAAAAAAAAAATTTTTTTTTTTTGTGACCTACATAGATTTGTCAGTTTGTTCATTCATGTGGTCAAGTGAGAGGGAAGAACAGAATAAAACCTACCATCTCCCCCTGAATCATTTTACTACAGAAACAATATTTTATCACTTAAATGCAGAAAGGACATTACCTTAGCTAAGGACAGTGTTTTGCATGAAATACACTTAGCTGAGTGGACGTCTTCTGGGCGTGGCCATGTTTCTGTTGTGTGGGGTGGGCGTCTCTGTGGGCAGACTGGTTCCTGGCTGGGAATTTCAGCCCGAGATTGGGCTGCATGGCCAGCCCTAACTCGCTCACACCCACTTCCTAGTGGAGACCTGCTCTAACCCCGACGCAGCTTCACCACCCGCTGCCCATCACCCACACCTGCTTCCTGTGCGGTCCAGTCCGCTGCCTGGCCTCCTGGCCCGAATGGGCAGAAGTAGCAGCCCCATTATCCTTAAAGGATCTGTACCCCTTGACAAGCATGCCTTTCAAATTATTACTAAGTCAGCATATTTTAGCCTCCACAGCTGTAGCTGAGACAGTCTTGAGCCCAAAGACATCACTGAGTCCTTCTGTAGGGAGCAGACAGGAGAAGGTCCTGCCTTTCCTGGAAATTTAGTAGAGTTGGGCTGTTTCTATCATCTTTCCCAAAGGAATGTGAGAAAAAGACTTACCCTATACAGAAACACCTCCTTCTCTCAGACCACCAGCATTTTCCGTGTGTTAATCATCTCATGCAGAGAGGGAGACTTTTAGATGCCCAGAGAATCAAGCTTCCTGAAGAGCTGCCCACTGCACTGGATGGCTAAATGGAAGTTATGCTGGTTTTCTATAGACTGGGGAAGTCTTTTTATTTTTAATTTTAGTCCAATATCCATTACCTTCCTTTGAAGACTTTCAATTTGTATATGGATGTTTTATAATGCCTCTCAGGATGAGAATATTAGTGCTATAATTGGGCAAACACTTAAGAGACATTCATTCAACAAATGGTCTTCAAGCACCTACTATGTGCCAACCACAGTGCTGGCTTTGGAGATTCAATAATGACAAGTCATTCTTTTCCTCAAGGGCTTAAGAACTTTAATTGAGGGAACAGACATGTCAACATAAAGAGAAGTCCTCAGGGACTTTCCTGCTTCCCCTAGCAGATTCAGAGCAGCGTGAGGGAGGGGGTACCACCAGTTCCACCTGAGCCATGGAGAGCAGCTTCCCAGGGGAGTAGGGGCCCCCGATGGTGAGTGTGGGCATCCTTGGGAAAGGCAGATAGGGAGGCTGTGGTGGACACTGAGCTACTATCAAAGCCACCTTCTCCTCTCTGCAGCTCCACGTGGGGCTAAGGCTCTGCAGGCCCCTTTGCCAGCTGGCTCTGTTAGGCTCCACCCACAGGAGGCCCAGAGGAACTGGGCCCACTCGCCTGCTGGTCTTGACAGCACTACACCCTGAACAAGCCTGCCTGCGCCTGGCAGAGGCAGTAGCGCCCACAGTAGCAGCCTTGCCTCCAGGCCCTTCTTGGCCATGAATCCTGGCACCCCTCCCAGCTGACAGGTTCTGGCAATCCCAGCCCTGAGGGTGGCAGCTGCTGCCTGCACTTACTATCTCTGTGGCCTCGGTTTTCTGTTTTTGCCTTTTTATCTGCTTGTTCAATTTCTTATATTCAGTTCTTTCTGTTGAAACACTCAGGGTGGTTTCTATTGTCCTGACTGACCCTGACTGATGTTCTTCTGGGAGTGATGATCCCAGGAAGCAGGCTTGCGAGTCAAGTCACAGGACTGATGCGGGCATGTCGGGCCTTGAGGGCAGTGCAGGGCTCCCTGATGCTGAGAAGTGGTTCTCGGTGACCATGGCATTCAGTGGCATCACTGTCAGGCAGATGATCACCCCTGCTTCCTTGTGATGATGTGTCAATAAGCCTGTCTCAAGGACAAAGTGGCTGTGGCCCTTGACCATTAGGGCAGCAATGAACATTCCCAGGTGGGCACTGGAGGCCCTGCAGCTGAGTTTCAGAAGTCAACATGCAAGGGCCCAGGGTCCTCTGCAAACTAAACCAACTATCTTCCTCCTGGTTTGAATATGTGCGAGAAAGCCCATTCTGAAATGCCCTTAATCACATGTTTAAGTAAATAACTTTTGGAGCAGACTAAAAACTGAACAGGATACCCTAGGAGGACTGCCAGAGCACAGCTAGACACTAACCTGTGCTGTGCTGTGCTTAGTCGTTCAGTCGTATCTGACTCTTTGGGACCCCATGGGCTGTAGCCCACCAGGCTTCTCTGTCCATGGGGACTCTCCAGGCAAGAATACTGGAGTGGGTTGCCATGCCTTCCTCCAGGGGATCTTCCCAACCCAGGTCTCCTGCATTGCAAGTGGATTCTTTACCATCTGAGCCACCAGGGAATCCAAGAATACAGGAGTGGGTAGCCTAGCCCTCCTCCAGGGGATCTTCCCAACCCAGGAATTGGACCAGGGTCTCCTGTATTGCAGGCAGATTCTTTACCAGCAGAGCTACCAGGGAACCCCAGATGCTAGCCAATGTGGCTCTAATATCAGGGGTCCTAACGCCTACTCCTCAGCCCAGGCTTCACACTTGCAGTGACTCTCTGAGATCAAAACAGAGGTGCTAACTTCAATTCCAGGTGCGTCCTTTGCCACAAAAAGCTGTCCACAAAATTCCTTGAGGCCTTATTCTGTCATCTACTGTGGATTATCTCTCTTTGGTCTGTCAGCTCAAGACTGACAGATGCTTTTGTTCATTCAGTTCTAAAATCAAGTACCTACTAGATTCAAAGACAAAGAAAAGCAAATAATTGCACAACGTGACTAGGTCTGCAGCCAGTAGGTGAGCTGCTGGGACTTGGGGGCCTGGGAAGGCTTGGAGTGGAAAAGTACTGAACCTCAGTCAGAGGGGAGGAGACACTTTCAAGGCCCCCCGGACAAGGTGGTCTTGGCAGAGACCCTGCGAGAGGCCTCAGGTGAGGCCCCGCCCCCAGGGATGGGAGGTGCCTGGGCCGGACATGGAGACGTGCCCCAGAGCATGGCTGGGATGGGGGAGTGGAGGGGGAGGCTTCTGAGTCTTGGGCTGAACTCCCTCCAGAAAATGGCAGCGTGCTGGCAGGGTCCCAAGTCCAACGCGAGGAAGGCGGACCCCACCCTCATGAGACTTGCCAGGTAAAGCTTTGTAGTTGCCTGTGGCCAGGTCTGAAACATCACACATGGAATTTTAACCTGGAGCGAAACTCCTGGGAAGAAAGTTAAAGTAGGACATGATTTCTCAACCCCAGGGTTATTCTTATTTTAGGCTGAACAATCCCTTGCTACGGTGTCCAGTACATAGGTGAGTATTTGGCGGCTTCCCTGGCCTCCATCCACTAGGTGCTTGCAGTTGCAACAGCCTGGAATGTCCCGAGATGTTGCCAAATGTCCCCTGGGGGCAGCGCTGCCAAATCGACAGCGCTGAAATAGAGATGCTCAGAACCCTGTGTGTGGGTCTGCTTCTGCTACCTTTCGACATCGCCCTGGGAATATGTCCTCTGCCTGGAAACAACACTCTCCCCTTTTACATCTATGGATGCCTCCTCTACCCCTCCCCACTCCGGTCGTCTACCCCATCCCTCCTCTGTGAGGCCTTCCCAGACCACACTTCACCACCCCCCCACGCCCACCTGACAGCCCGCCCTGTTATTGCACGGCTTCTATATTCAAACAAACGCTTTCCTAGGATGGTCCCAGTGTCTCTGAGATACACTGTCCACAGGTCAGTGTGGAGGAGGGTGGTCCAGATGACGACCAGGCACACCCGAGGTTGAGAGAATGGCCGACGTCACCCTGGGCCCACTACTGGGATTCAGATGAGATGAAACAGGGTGGGGTGGCGCTCGGGGAGAAGGGCGGGGCCGGGGTCTGGACGGGGCGGGGCTGTAAAGGGGCGGTGCCCGGCTCGTCTCGGGGCGGGGCGGGGCTCTGGGCGCTGCTCCCCAGCCAGGCGCCGGTCCAGCTCGGCCCCCGCCCGCTCCCCGCCCCCTGCAGGTCCGCACCCGCGGGCGGGCGCGGCCCAGGCGCGGAGCGGCCAGAGGCGCTGGGCGATCGTAGAGCTTGGCGTCGGGGCCGGGGGCGCCGGCAGGCCCGGAGGCTGCGATGAAGGCGAGCGGCGAAGACGGGGAGGCGCCGGCCGGGGGCCCGTGGGAGCAGTGCTTCGAGGCGGCGGTGCAGCTGGCTTTGCGGGCGGGACAGGTGAGAGCGGCCCAAGGCGCACGGCGGGCGCACGGGGACTTGGGGCACATCGGGTGTAGGGCGTGGCGGACGGAGACCCTGCGGGCAGGAAGGCGCGGGGCGCGAACAGCCGAGGGGTCCTCTGCGCCTCCGGCACACCTGTGCACCTGCCGCTCCCGCGCCAGGACTGGCGCCCGGAGTCCCTCGGGCTGGGGGCGCATGGCGGCCTGGCTGGGGGAGGGGGGTCAGGGCACGCGGACTGCCTCGGATTTGACCCAGGGGGCGGGACGCGGTGCGGTTGCCCGGAGTTCGAACCCGGCGCGTGGAGATCAGGCGGACGGTCTGTCCTCGCGCGTCCGGAGGCGAGAGGGTTCCGCTGCGCGAATGGAGGAACTGCTGCCCGCACCGGAAGGATGAACTAGAGTTGCGGAGTCGAAGAAACCTGCGGAGGGCAGCGCTCTTTTCGCGCTCTCGTGTATGTTCCGCTCTTCCCTTCCTCGATGCCCCACGCCTGGGGTCCTTAGGCCACGTGCGGCGCCAAGTTAGGGGCGCTGGAGGAGGCGGGGCGCAGGGACGGCTAGGTCCCTCCTGGCGCGTCAAGGCGCACGGCTGCGTTGCGGCGATCGGAACAGAAGGTGGACGGAGGAGGAGCCCTGTCTCTGTGGCAGTTCCTTTTCTAAAGTCAGGCTGTCGCCAGTTTTGCAGTATAAGTGCATCTCCAGCGCACAGTCACCGTGCCCTGACACCGTGCCTCGTCCCCCTGACAGTTAACTTCAACACTAGTGGACGCCTTCTGTGTTGGGGGCTCTTCCTCTGCAGTTTGAAGGACTCACGACTCCAAGGGGCGCTGTGAGCCTTGATCCTTGGAGAGAAGGAGGACCCCAACCCCGCCTGCTACCCTGCAGGGTTGCAGGGCTAACGTCCTTCCTGGAGAGCGGGTCTCCGCAGGCTCGCGGGGGCACTGCCCCGCCCCTCCCCAACCCTTACTTCCTCTCCGGAGGCGCGTCCTCAGGGTATAATGGTAACTTTTAGGTTCCACCGTACAACTTTCTTCCTTCAGCCTTGGAGAAGAAGCCAGTCTAAAATTCAGACACCACTGTGTAAACCCTGCTGGGTTGTTACAGGGTTTCTGTGGTTTTTCAAATTTAGATCCTCGAGGAAACAGAAGGGTTTTTGAAACACTTTTTTTTTTTTTAAACAAATTTGCAAGTGCTTACACAGAACTTGCAACACAGCAGGCCCCGTTCTAAGGGTCTTGGGAAGTTTAACTTATCTGAGAGATCTCTTCTGCTTTTGCAACTTGCCAAGAACAACAGAAAAAGTATTTTTTGACAGTAGGGTGAGGGTGCAATAAGGATTCTGCCCTTAGGGGTCTAGTCAGGAGGCCCAGGACTGCAGCCTCCCTTCTGGGCTTTATGCTGTTGCTCCCTGCCTGCCTGGCCAGAGCAGGGGTGGGGAGGGGCCAGTGATCTGGTCTGAGGCTGGGACTGGACAGAAGCCACCCAGGGTCGTCCTATCCCGTGTGAAGAGGGACAGAGTGCCTTAGTGATGCTCTGGCAGTAACATCACAAGGCGCTGAGTGGAGAAAGCTTTGCCTGTTGCCAGTGAGCCCCGGGTGGGGAGGACAGAGGGTGCTGAGCACTCACCCTGAGTCCTCCTCAGCCAGAGGTGTGTTTGCTGCAGGTTCGGGGGCCTCCTAGCCCCTGTGTCTGCCCCTCCCATCCTGCTGCCCCGACGCAGCTGTGTATGCTCAGTTCCTGAGCCAGAGGGAGGACTGGCTCCCAGGAGACTGTGGCCCTCCGTCTCTCAGTCATGGGTTCAGGTCAGGGCAGCCTGGACCCCTGTGTCCTTGCTTCACCACCCAGTCCTGAGGTGCCTCAGGGTGGGGGGTGGGGGGGCATCCTGGCCAGTCCAACTGCCCCACAGCTGCAGGAGCCCTGCCCTGGCTGCTGGGCTTTGGGGGACAGTGTGATGTCAGCCGCCCCCCCATCACCACCACAAGTACAAAGAGGGATATTCATCTAAATGGGTATTTATCATCTTTTATGTGATGTGTGAGCAAAAGTGTCTAAGAAAACTATGTTTTTTAAGTTGTCCTGCAGCATAGATCCAGGTTTTGTTGAAGCTGAAATTTAAATAATTTAGGGGCCCTCTATAAGAAAAAATATACAAAATTCAAAATTAGACATAAAAATTGTTTATTTAGAATAAAAAAAGGTCACAACAATATACATTTTAAGATGCTCCCAAATATAACAGGATACATACAAATAAGTTTTTAACCACTTCGCAAAACCTTCTGTAGTATTTTTTCACATTGTGGCTTCATACTGTATATCTTCAAATGATGATGAGTTAGTAGTACATTCTATGCAAACTAGAAAGATTAATTCAAGCTTTTCTGTAGGGTGGCTCATTGAAATTGATTACTAATAGCTTTGAAAAGTTTATTTAGGCTTCAGGCTTGTTACTGGTGGGTTCCTATAAATGTTTAGGCTTGCCCTCAAATTTGAGAATCCTGTCCGTTTCCTTTAACATTCTAGCTGTCAGACAGGGGAAACTTTCCTGGTGTACTCTGAGGTGGGGTGCCCCCTGTCCACCTCAAGCTGCCTGGAGCATAGGGGCACAGCGGGGGCTCTCACCCAGCAGCCCCACTTGTCGGTTTGTGACTGTATTTTTTATCAATTATCCACACGGGGACATTTGATAAGTGAGATACCACTAAGGGGATTGTCATGGAGCCAGCAGTGTCTTGTCCTGTGTCATCCTCATCCTTTTCCCCAGAGCTCGCTGTCTTCAGTTTTCTGATAGTTACACCCATCTTCTAAATAGTAGCTCTTTTCTGCATCATCCACATTAGACGCTGTTGTGCTGTGTAGCTGCATTCCCTGTCAGTCCCACTGGTGCCTGGGCTCACGTGCTATGACCACACGTATCGCAAGGTCAAGCCGAGCAGCATGGTTGTATTACAGTATTACACATTCTTTGCTTTCTTACTCAACTTGTGGTTTCCCTTAAAGTTAAAAGAAAATGGTTTTTTTTTTTCTTTTGCTTAGTTTTCTGTGTACCTACCTACTTCCATCTTCCAATAGAATTTTTGATGGTCTCCTCGATATAGCTACTCATGGGTCTCGCTCCTGGGGAGACGTGGTCCTCACACCTTCAAGTGCATGAGAAGCACCAGGAGGGACTTTGTGGCCTGCTGAGTCCACCCCCAGGTTCCTACCTGCTCGGTCCTAAGAGGGGCCAGGAACAAGCACCTTCACCAAATCCCCAGCTGGTGTTCTTGGTTGAGAGGCTCTGCTATACGTAGTACGTTGTTGTGTGAGTGAGGATATGACAGTTCATTCACTCAACTCTTGAGACTTTGTACAATGTCCAGTTTGGAATTATTAGGAATGACGTTGCTCATCCAGCCCTCTTGCATGTGTCTTTTGGTTACGTCCATATGCATTTATGCTGGAGCTGGATGAACACTAAGAGTGAAATTGCTGTGTCATGGGGTAGGAAATTCCACCAGGTGCTTTTCCAAGGCAGCCACATGGGTTCCCGCTTCCCCAGCAGCAGTTGGGGGTTCTCTGACAACACTTGGTGTTGTCTTTCCATTTTAGCCTCTGTGACGGTTTTGAGGCGGTATTTTTATGGTAGTTTTAATTGTATGTGCTATATGACTAAAGAATTTAAGTGCCTTTTTATGTGTTTACTCACTTCCTGGAGATCCTCTGTTTTAAAAATAATGGTGCTAAACTGATTAGAAATATATTCATTCACTCAACAAATATTTGAATAACTCTGGAAAGGACTTTAACCTTTACTCTGAGTGTGACTGAGGTTCAGTTTGGAGTTCTGTGTGGAGTCCTACAAGATGAAGGGGAGTTCAGTTCACCTGACTGATGCTGGGTGGGGGGCCTGCAACACCAAAGGGGTTTCGGGCAGAAGCTTCCGATGGAAGCTGTGAGAATTGTCCGAGTGAGGGGTGAGGGTGGGTCTGACTGCGGATGGTGAAGAGGGCAGTAAAGCAGTTGGATTTTGTAGGCAGGTTTGCTGCCAGATTGGAGGCAGATGTGAGAAGAGCCAGGGGCGCCTGCAAGGTTCAGGCCTGAAAAACTGGTCCATGGATTTGCCAGAACTGTGGGGGGGGGGGGGGGGAGCAGGTTTGGAGGTGGAGGTCAGATATTGTGTTCCGAGCTATGAGCTGTTGAACTTGAACTGCCAGTGGATCTCTTCTTGCATGGAGCCCTGTGGTGGGGAGTTCACGGGAGAGGCTGAGAGTAGAGTTTGGGAGCTGTCAGCCTGGGATGGTGTCTTAGGCCGGGTCCTGCCCTGAAACAGAGCAGGCTTGTCCGCCCTGAGCTCTCCTTAGGTGGATTGCAGGTCAAGCCCTGGCATTTCCTCTGGGAGATCTCCATCTGTCCTGCCTGCAGATGGAGGGAGTGGCTGGTGAGCTCAGTGTTTCTGCTATCAGTCCTGGCCTCAGCTGGCCTCACCTGCACTGGCACCCCCAGCTTCCACAGGATGGGGGGTGACCCGCATTGACAATTGTAACACTTTGGCCAACATTTGAAGACTCAGCCCAAACAGAACTTGTGAGATAGTCACTGGCAGCAGCATCAGCATCCCCATTGGCACATGTGGGCCAAGGGCCCAGGGGAGTCTGTAGAGAGCTCTCTCACACAGAGAAGGGTTTGTGTTTTCTGTCTGTTCAGGCCTTCAACTAACTGGATGAGGCCCACCCACGTTCCAAAGGGCAAGCTGTTTTACTGATTTATATGCTCATCTCATCCAAAAACACCCTTATAGAGACACCCAGAATAACATTTGACACAGTATCTGGGTCTCCAGCTGACACACAAGATTAACCATCTCATCACACTCATAAGTCTGGAACCTGAAATGTGACGGTACTGCCTGGCCCACACCTGCAGAGGAAAAATGCTGCCTGTTCAAACCCCGCTTGCTCAGGCTTCTCCGAGTGTACTCTACGGTTCCCGAGCTCACATGAGTTGCTCGTGGGGGATGGATGATAACCTTATGGTCGACTTGGAGACAGTAGCACAGAACCAAGATAGTGCACAGACAAGAAAGAGACGTCTGGACATGTGTCTGAATGATAGCCCCAGACGCTGGAGCTGATGGGGTTTGAAACTCAGGCTTCAGTGACTTAAGACCCATATTTTATCTATTAAACATTAACAGAATGTTATTTGGAGGGAGAGACCCAGGCCAGGAGGTCTGTGAAGTGCAGGCTTAGTTAGTGAGTAGCTGAAAAACATCAATTAAAAAACAGCACACACTAACTTATTACTGGCAGAATGAGAATGTTTAAAATCCTTTAGACAGGAAGAAAACAGATGTGGTCAAGGGTTTTAGTAGGTAATTCACCTGGAATACCACAGATTATCCCCCAAGGATGGGACTGTGGCTAAAGGGCAAGACTGATTGAGCCTGATAAGGATTTACATTCTAAGACACTATCCCCACCTCTCCTCTCAGTGTAGAAAATGTCTGAAATTGAACTTTGTTAACCTAGTATTAAGGTTTGTATATCGTGTGTGCAGTAGATTTTCGGGTTTTGCCATAAGTTGTTAAGTTTTGTGAGGCCTCAGCCCCTTCGGTGGATGGACCTTCAGAGGAGAAAGAAAAAGGACACCTGGGGCTAGTGGCGGCCAGCTTGTCTGAAGGGCAGCGTAGTTCGGGGCAATGATTCAGAAATGAGGTCTGAATATCTGAGAATGTAACTGAATGAGAGGACGCGTCCAGGGCCCAGGGGAGCAGCAGCTGGTGAAGAGGGCTAGCCAGAGTGGCACCACGGGTGGTGGAGGACGCAGGTATGGTGTGGCCTGCCCCATGCTGAAGGACAGGGGCCTACAATGAAACAATCACAGGATGGCAACAGTAAATGCTAGTAGAAATGGAAAAGAAGTCCTTACAGAAGGACAGGCTTGGCATCCTCCTCGACTCACAGTCCTTTGCGTGATTTGTGGCCCGGGGCCCGACTCCACCCACCCCCACAGAAAAAAAAAAAAAAACACCCAGATGACCACAGGACCCCCATGGGAGAGGGCTGGAGGGTGAGTGATGGCTCAGTGAAGCAGAAGGGGCAGGGAAGTTGAGGACGCAGAGGTGGGAGGATGGCCTGGCTCCTGCAGAGGGGGGTCAGAGGTGGAGGTCCTTCCTCACCCCCATCCAATTAGAGTCTGGGGGCAGGCTCTGCTTCCTGAAGCCTCCCAGGGCCCCATCTCCATTGCTCTGACCCAGGAGACAGAAGCAGACCCCCTAGCACACCCATATCATGGCAAGGGGGGGGACTGTGATGGGTAGGAGGAAGCACTGAGCGAACAGTGGCCCTTTGAGGACGTGACTCAGAGGTCACACATCGATGCCCCTCATGTCCTCTGGGCCAACCTTGGGCCCAGGGCCACACCTGCCTTCACAGGAGGCCAAGGCAGGGCCGCCAGGTGGCTTGGTGCCTACCAACCTTGGGCTGGGCTCTGTTCCTGGAAGGAGGGCCGGCTTCTCAGGTCCGGTTGTCTCTGCTCCAGGCCAGTCCTCAAGGCCACTGTGAGCCACCATCAGGGGTGATGGGAGCCATAAGGTGCTTTCTTGTGAAAAGAGGGGGCAGCAGTGAAGGCTCCCAGGAACCCACAGAGAGCCTGGCACTGCCCGTCTGCCTATCTGTCCTGTCTGTCCACTGGCAGTGGGGGAGGGGCCCAACCCTGGAGCAGGAAGGGGCGGCCAGTGTCACCCACATCCCAACTTTCATTGCAGATCATCAGAAAAGCCCTTTCTGAGGAAAAACGTGTCTCAACCAAGACGTCGGCAGCGGACCTGGTGACAGAGACGGACCACGTGGTGGAGGCCCTGATCCTGCAAGAGCTGCAGACCAGATTTCCCTCCCACAGGTAGGCGCACCCTACTCCTCCACCCCACCCCCGAGGTCCCCCCAGGCCGCACAGACTTGCCTAGACGCAGCCCTAGCCCAAGCCAGGGAAGGCTATCCTCCAGGGCTACCTGCTCTCCAGGACAGGTGTCCCCTACCTTATGAGTCACCGCATGGAGAATCTGATGCAACTGTTCATCTTTTCCTTGAGAAAGACCAGCATTCATCCAGCGGTATGCCTCTAGTTCCGGGGGAACCTGGGGCCCCGGGGGACGCTTGGACCTCAGGGAGGGAGGGGGCTTCCTGAGCAGGAGGGTCCTCTCCTTCCTTAGGGAATCGCTCACCCTGGAGCCCAGTCACTGGGTTCTTGGGTGTAGATGACGTGTCGGCCTGGCCGCTGTCCATCTGGACCGGTGAGGGGCTCCCTCCTCAGCTGCCCGGCGAGTGACCAAGGTTGGGGGACAGGCCAGTCCACACTCGAGCCTTCTCACTGCTGCTTCCTTTTAACCTGCGTCACCCAGGGGTCGTGTGTGTGCGTGGTGTGTACTATGTGTGCTTGTGTTTGTGTTGTGTGTGTATGTGTGCGAATGTGTGTATGGTGTGTGTGTGTGTACATGTGTGGTGTGTGTATGGTGTGTGTATGTGTATGGTGTGTGTATGTGTATGTTGTGTGTATTTATGTGTGTGTACATGTGTATGTGTATGTTGTGTGTATGTGGTATATGTTTGTATGGTGTATATGTGTGTTATGGTGTGTGTGATATTTGTACATGTGTATGTGTGTGTGGTGTGTATGTTTGTGTGGTGTGTGTATGTATATGTGGTATGTGTATGTGTGTATGTTGTATAGTATGTGTATGTTGGGTGAGTGTGTATGTATGTGCTGTGTGTGTGTGTTTGGTATATATGTGCATGTGTGGTGTGTATGTGTGTTGTATGTGTGTGGTATGGGTACATGTGTTTGTGTGATATGTGTGTATGTTGTATGGTGTGTGTTGTGTGAGTGTGTTTGTGTTTGTGTGATGTGTGTATGTAGGTGTGTACATGCATATTCCTGTTGGCAACCCTTGTGTTTCAGCATCTCTTCCTGTTTCTTTGTTTGGTGTAAAGTCAGGACCTTGACATCTGTTATAATAGTTACAGGCTCTGAAATGTTTGATTTCTTAGTTTATAAAAATCTAAATTAACTGGCAACCTCCAAGGAATCACAGTTGACCCGTAAGCAGTATGGGTTTGAGCCATGCAGGTCCACACAGATGTGGAGTCAGTCACTCAGTATTAACACTGCAGATGCAGGTGGAGTGCCGGCAGTTCGGCGCCCCAGCCCCACCATGTTCCAGGGGTTGGATTCTGAGAGAGTGCAGCTCAGGAACCACCACAAGTTCTGGTCCAGGGGCTCCTTCCGTCCATGTGTCATCCAGAGGCTCCAACAGCAGTGAGGCGTCAGGGCTGGGCCTACGGGGGTCCAGGTAGAGGCTCTGGCTATTGCAGGGCTCTGTGTGGTAATGGCACCAGGGCTCCGCATAGAGATGGTACCAGGGCTTCTGGCACTTTGCGGTCAGACTGCTCTGACAGGCTGAATCCTGGAATCACACGCCAGCTCCTGGTGGTTTGGATCCACTGTTGTGTTAACATGGGGCCTGGTATCCATTTGCGCAGTGTGAATTTCCATACTACTTGCCGAATATCAGGGCAGAAGTCAACATGTTACATGGGGGAACCTCTTCAGAAGACCATCTGGTCCACCCAGAGCAGCGGCCCCCACCCATGGTGGGCGCCAAGCTCCCTGGAGCTTCTCCAGCCCCCCTGACAAAGCCCTGAGGGATGCAGGTGCCCCCCGACCCCCCCAACAAGAGCCAAGGGTCCCCAAGCTGCAGGCTGCATGGGGCGGGGGCTGGCTGCTCGGGTCAGCCAGCTCTGCCCACCCTATTCTCAGCTCTGGGCCAGCTCCAGGACACTGCTCTCTGCTCTGTTGCCTAGAAAATCCAGGTATCTGAGATCATCTTTCAGTAGCTCGAAGCCAGACTTGGTCTTTTCCCAATGACTAAGATTTAAGAGAAAGTACCAGAATTGGCACTAGTGGTAAAGAACTCCCCTGCCAGTGCAGGAGAGGTAAGAGATGTGGGTTCCATCCCTGGGTCAGAATGATTCCCTAGAGGAGGGCATGGTAACCCACTCCAATATTCTTGCCTGGAGAATCCCCTAGGGACAGAGAAGCCTGATGGATTACAGTCCATAGGATCACAAAGAGTTGGACATGACTGAAGTGACTTAGCACTTAGCACCAGAATTTGGGGGCATTTAAATGTATTTTAGATCAGAGGCAAATTGAGAAATCTGTGATGAGAAAAAAGTTGCATATGTATTGTAAGATAAAATAGTATGTTGTCATTTCCCTGCATATCTAAGTATTTTAAAATGTCCCTTAAACAAGTTGATGTAAGATTGTCACCCTTTCTTAAGAAGGACTTTCTTTCGGACTATTTGCTCTTCCTCATTTTTAGTCTTTCACAAAACAGTATTAAAGATAGATTGCAAAAAAAAAGATAGATTGCAACTGTTTTGACTTTGATAAAATAAGAAACAACTTGATATGGGCTCCCTGGTTTCATGCTGTGTCATCAGGCAGCGGAGCTGGGCTGTGGCCTGACAGTTGAGGCTGAGGACCATGAGCTGGCTCCCTGGTGGACTGAAGGTGACCTTGTCACAGAGTCAACAAACTGGCCAAAGAGAAGGTCTGGGTGCACCGGGCTGTCAAAAATCACAAGGAGGGTTTTTAACAACTCTTAGAGAAAACTAATAAAGTGAAATGGGTTGGTCTAATTTGTCTCAAGCTGTAAACCTTGTCCCTGGGCTCTTTCCTTCTGTACCTCCCACAGGCCTATGAGGGACTTCCCTGGTGGTCCAGGGGCTAAGACTCCAAGCTCCCAGTGCAAGGGGCCCCAGGGTTCAATCCCTGGTCAGAACTAGAGCTCACTATATCCTGCCCCTGTTTGACCCAAAGAAGCCTGCAGGTCTCACAGCTGGGCTTTGAAATGCTGTGTCTTCGGTACCTGACAGGTTTTCTCAGGCTGAGCTCTGTCCACTGCAGGTTCATTGCAGAGGAGGCTGCAGCTGCCGGGGCCAAGTGCGTGCTCACCCCCAGCCCCACCTGGATTGTGGACCCCATTGACGGTACCTGCAACTTTGTGCACAGGTAAGCGGGCACACCCGTCTTTTCCAAAGCAGCATTTTTTGAGGCAGCAGCCAGTCAGCAGACCTCTTGCAGGCTTTGGTCTCACTCACAAGATGATCAAGTCTTGATACTTTTAAAGTTTCCCATTTGTGAGATTCGTTCAAAGCATGTAGGAAATCTTCACTTGTTTAAAAACTATTGTGTTTGTCACATTTAAACGTTGGGTTGAATTAAGAAGGACCCTTAAGGAGTCCCCTGGAGAGACGGACAGGTTGTAAATAACACAAGGTGTCTGGTCTGGCAGCCTCAGGAACATGCAGTGTGGACAGTGGCCTTGGGGGTGAGAAACCCGCCAGCTGCCAGCTTGATCTGATGGCAAATATTGGCCCCAAACAGCAGGTTTCTGGGGGGTCAGAGGCCCTCGTGGGGAGGGGAGTGAACTGGGGCCATGATGGTGCAGCCCGGCTGTAGAAGCACTGACCAGGGGCAGGCATCAGGGTTGTGCAGCTGGTCAGGGCCCTAAGGACACCGAGGGTGCCGTGATTTCCACAGAGGGTGGCTCTCCCACGAGGACATGCGTGCAGCCCCCAGAGCTCCTGCCCTGTCCCAGGTCCCCATCCTGCAGTGGGGGCTCCCATGACCTGCATCACTCCAGCCAGACACTCAGGGAGGGCCCAGGTCCCCCCCACCCCTGCAGTGGATGCTTAGGGAGGGCCTCCTATAGATGACCCCAGACACCCACTTCCTTCCTTACAGTAAGGAGGTGAGTGGGCTGGGGTGTGGAACCCTCACTTGGAGTGTTTACATGTAAGTGTGGAAAGTGATTCTGCCCATCATGTGAATCATCACCCTTTCCTGCATGAGAGTCACCTTGAGAATTTGGTCATGGCTGGCCCTATTGGAGGCAGTGGAACAGAGTGATCTGGTGACCCCAACAGTGCCAGCAGACTCTAATTCTAATTAGCATATGACACCCTGGGGAGTCATGTGGGACCAGGGGCACATGGACCAGGTTGTGGGTCACCGAGTAGAGCCCGTGTGTGGGTGTTGGGAGCACGAGGGGCCAAGCCCCGAGGTGGACAAAGGCCATGTGTCTACCCCAGGACCAGAGAGAGAACCTGAACTAGAGCGTCACTTGGAAAATAAGCTTTGCGGCTGACCTTTAGTCTCCAGACACTGTCCAGGGTCACAGGGCCATGGTGACTCTCACCCTGCAGCTCTGACAGGACCTATCCTGTTTGTGTCCTGCAGCGTCAGGGTTAGAGAAAGTGGGGAAGGGCCTTCTGAGGGTGGGGTACCCCTGCTGGGCCATGGGGTGTCATGAGTGGCCCCATAGGGACGGCACCTCACAGCCTGGGAATGGTTGGTCCCAAGACTTCTGGGTTAGAACCAGCCTTTCCTTGTTCCTGCCTGTTCAGCTCTGACAGTCTTCACATAAAGGAGAGATGGTTCTGGAGACGTAAACCCACAGGCAGGCTGCGAGGTCACTGCCTGCCTTCCATGCCACGACCACACCTGCTGTTCTGGGTGAGCCTCACACAGGATTTGTGTCAGGAGGGCCTGGTTGTCTCAGACCTGGACCCTCCATCTCATCGGCCACTGAGAACCAAAGCTGATTATTAAAACCTCTCAACCGGGTTCTCTGTGGTCACTGTCCATCCTAACAACTGTCAATACAGCTGTCTGTCAAGGTCGCTGTCCCACAGGTCAGCTCGGCTTGCTGGTCTTGGAAGCACTCGGTGCCATTGTGGGAAGTAGCTTCTGACAAAACAAACCCAGCCATGCTGTAGAAAGGTCATCTTTGCCTCCAGCTGCACAGAGGCTGCTGACTTTGCACGAGTCCATGATGTCACAGCATCAACCATCTGTCTCCTCTGCAGGTTCCCGACCGTGGCGGTGAGCATTGGCTTTGCTGTGAACCAGGAAGTACGTGGTGGGTGGGGCCCTGGCTGCCTGGCCCCTTGGCTGCTGTTTATTTATCTCACTTCTTGATTCTAACCTGTTTTCCTGTCCTTGTACTAAGCCTTCATTGTGACTGGTATTGATTTCAAATCCAAGAAGGGAAACAGGTGCAAACCAGTTTGGGGCATGAGGCATTGGGGTGTGAGGGTTTGGAGCATAAGGGGTTGGAGTGTGAGGGTTTGAGGTGTGAAGGTTTAGGCTGTGAGGGTTCAGGGCTCCACCGGCCCCAACCCCCAGGGCTTGCAGCAGGGCCGGGTGTAAGGAACATTCTGGGCATGTGTTCCCAGTTAGTCTCCATCTGACCCCTGGGGCGTGTGATCGAGTCACACAATAAAGAAGCTCCTATTTTGGGAGGACATCTCTAGTCCCAATATTCTGTTAGTCCTTCATCCTCCTCTTGCTGTTGGGTGAGAGCGTGGCTGTCGCTCCGTTCCCACAGACCCTGGAACTGGGCCACATTGTGGGACCTGCGGAGAAGGCCGGGATGTAGGCTTTAGCTTCATTAGTCAACTTCAGAGATTACAGGCAGGAAGGGCCTTTCCTTCCGCGTAGTCACCACAGTTACCCTTGCCTAGGTCGAGGGCTCGAGCTGTGCAGAAGGAGCCCTCATTAGAGTCTCACGTCCTGTCCTCACTCTCGGCATGAGCACAGATGGTGGGCAGGAAGAGAGTCCTGCCCATGAGAAAGAACTTAGTTTTTGAGGTGACAATAAGCGAGAGTCTTGATGTTGATCCTGGTTAGGGAATCAGTCACTCACATTATTTCTGTGTTAAACGTGGTCACTGAGATGTGCGCATGGAGCAGTAAGCACAGAGAGCCGGAAGGTTCATTCTGGCCGCAGGGTCGCTGACCAGCCAGGCCTCGGCCTCTGATGGGTGCAGGGAGGCCAGCCCGGTTCCAGGACTGACTTGAACTTGGGAAGCCCTATAAAGCCAGGGTCATGGGAAAGGGGAAGGGGGAGTTCACGTGCTGCCAGCTCTGGGTGGACACTGACTGGGGGTCCTCCAGGAGTGGGTTCTTTTCCTGCCAGCCCAGATTCCTCTTGGGTATCTGCCAGTGTCTCTCCCGTTTTCTCTCTCTCTGTTGGCTGACCTCCGTACCTCAGGGCAGGCACATGTGCTGTTCTTAACCCAGAACAGAGAGGCGGCCAGGGGTGGGGGAAGAGATGTAAGGAGGCTCACCTCCTCTGGATACCAGCTTGTTGGGGACCGAGGCTGTGTGCCCTGACGTGTGTGTGGTGGGGGGCCAGCCCCTCCGGGAATCCACATTTCTTCCTGTGCTTCCCCTCCCCGCCACTCTGGGTTCTGTCATGATCTCAGCTCTCCAGAGACATTCTGAGTTCACATGTCAGCAATTTTGAGTTTCTTGTAGGGTTTGATTGGAGTTGTGAGAACCTTTTTTCACCTCCCAAGAAAAAAACAAGAGATCTTTTTGAAGAATGACGTCTTTCCAGTTACTTTCAGTAATGCTGAAATGAAATATCAAAATGAAATGCTCAGTTACAATATCAATTTAAAATATAGTCTTATTCCTTTAAATATATCTTTAAATGTAGTGATTTAAGAAAAGAACAGTTGCTTTCACATTCAGGTCTATGTTTGACTGTGGACTCTGATTTGTTGAGCTCCCTTTTGAAAGCTAATTTTCACCCACACCCCTTGCATTAGTGTCACAGCTGGAGCTTTGTGGCCTTTGGTCACTGTGTCACGTTCTTTGTTTTCCATCCTGCCTGCCTGTCCACAGCTGGAGTTTGGGGTGATTTACCACTGCACGGAGGAGCGGCTGTACACGGGCCGGAGGGGCCAGGGTGCCTTCTGCAACGGTCAGCAACTGCGTGTCTCCGGGGAGACAGGTGGGCCCTCTCATGGGAAAGGGACCTGTCAAGAGTCACTGCTCCTCCGGGCAGCCACGGGGGTCCCTTGCCGAGGTCTAGTGTCATTGGGGACAGCGCATCCTTGTGGGACTGGACGTCGAGCCAGCCTGTGTCTCTGTGTTTCCCTGGCTGTGGCCAGGAGCCTTTGATGGGCTGGGTCTGTTCTTCACTCACCTTTCATCCCAAACGAGGGAAGGATCCCAGCCACCTGTTCCCGAGTGGTCCCGGTGAGCCGGCCAGGGCGAGGGCAGAGTCAGAGGCATGCTCTGGCATTCAGCACCTCACGGTGGCCGGGTGACATCACCTGGGGGGGGACTGTGGCTCCCAGATGCAGTTGACTTTGGTTCCTGTGAGAACACTGCTGGCCGGGGTAGCCTTATCGTGAGCTGTGTCATACACTGTGCAGATGCTGCCAGCCCTTGTCATTCCTGGAGCAGGACAGAGGACACGGTGGCCTTTACAGAGGGCCTGCTGCTAGGCTCACAGTCTGTGTGGCAAGCTGGCCTGAGAGGCAGTGAGAGGGGTCAGGGGTGTCCCTGCCCACAGCTCCCCACAGCAGTGGGGAGATGGGCCTCCAGCCCAGGCCAGGTCCACCAGGCTGAGCTCCAGTGAGGGCAAACCATGTGAATCCCCATGCTAGGGGAAAGGGGATGGCAGCCCCATGACCATGACCATGAGCAGCAGGCCTGCAGGGGAGATGACCACCATGTGGAGAACAGGCCAAGCAGGACCAAGGGCGGGCAGGCGGCGTGGAGGTCTTGAGTGCCCAGAGTGTGGGTGGGGATGGGAGGAACAGTACAGGGGCTGGGCAGGGTGGGTGGGGTAGGACCACGGACCAGCCACTGCCTCTGCTGCCCGGCCCCCAGCTCCTGCCCCAGGACAGTTTGGCTTGGCCGTGTAGACAGCAGCGTTAATTACAGCCTCGCCTGCCAGAAGCGGCCAGGCAGTCGGTTGTGTAACGCTGGGGTGAGGGAGCGCGTTGTTAAACTCGTGGGTGACCTTTGTTCCACATTCATGTGCTGTGACAGGCGGCTCGGTGCCCACGCTCACGCCCCTCCTAGACCCTCCCGTATCCAGCCCTCCTCCCACGGCTCACACCCACCATCCGCCCCCTCTGCAAGACGGAAGCCCAAGTCTTTCCATGCTCTGTTCCAGAGCTCTCCCGCGATTGTTTTAAGACTCTGACTCATGTAGTCCAGGGTGACAGCTTCCGCCCTGCTTGTCCTCTGTGTGCCGGGTGACTTGGTTTGCACCGGAGGTGACAGGATGTTCCTCTCAGCTGCACAGCCCTTGGATGTCTACACACCTGGCTTTGTCCCAACTGTGATAGCTTACGTGTGTGACTGGTAACCTGTGCTCCTGGAACCTCGGTGTTCATACATGCAGGGAGGCACTGACGACAGCTGTGAGGGTTACATTACATCCTGCATCCTACCGCTCGAAAACGGCCTTAGGGCTGGTGCCTGAATGAGAGCCATAATCAAAGGAGGAACTTGGGTCTTTGCACAGAATCAGCCAGCTGTGACCTGTTGCTGAGGCTAGGATACGTTTCTGCAGGCACTTTGTAGCCAATGTTTTCTAAAGTATTTATCTATCTTTGGCTGTGCTAGGTCTTCATTGCTCTACAGGCTTTCTCTAGTTGCAGCAAGCAGGGGCTTTTCTTCCTTGCTGTGTGTGGGCACTGTGGTGGTTTCTCTTGTTGCAGAACTCAGGCTCTAGGGTGTGTGGGCTCAATAGTTGTGGCTCCTGGGCTCTAGAGCACAGACTCAATAGTTGTGGAGCACGGGCATAGTTGCTCCGTGGCACGTGGGATCTTCATGGACCAGAGATCAAACCCGTGTCTCCTGTATTGGCAGGTGGAATCTTTACCATTTAACCACCAGGGAAGCCCCTTAGCCAACATTTCAGTACACATCTTTCTGTCACTCTTTTTATCTCAGCATTGTCTTTTCTTAAACTTTTTATTTTATGGTGGAGTGTAGCTGATCAACAAGGTTGTGATAATTTCAGGTGAACAGTGAAGGGACTCAGCCATACATATACACGTATCCTTTCTCCTCCAAACTCCGTTCCCATCCAGGCTGCCACATTACATTGAGCAGAGTTCCCTGTGCTATACAGTAGGTCCTTGTTGGTTATCCATTTTAAATTTATCAGTGTGTACATGTCCATTCCAATATGTCACTTTCTCTTAAACCTTTAAGAGAAAGGTTTAAAGGTTTAAACCTTTCTACCAATTTTTTAATTTTTGAAAATTTTCTCCTTTTCACAGTACATTTCTTTAAAGCATGATATATTGTGTTTGTTTGTGTTTAGTCACTCAAAGTCAACTCCGACTCTTTGCAACCCTATGGAATTCTCCATGGAACTGTCCATGGAATTCTCCAGGCAAGAATACTGGACTGGTAGCTATTCCCTTATCCAGGGGATCTTGCCCAGCCAGGAATCGAACCCCGGTCTCCTGCCTGGCAGGCAGATTCTTAACCAGCTGAGCTACCAGGGAAGCCCCATCATGTGTGTTTATCTTATTCATTTAGTCTGACTTTCTTTTCTGAAAGTTTTCTTCCCTGATTTCTCCTGGGACCCCTCCCCTGTACTTATGAGTGATGCTCTCCCGTACATTCTCCATTTTTCACTTAGAGCTGCTTCTATTTTGTTGGCACATCTTTCAGGAAATCTTTAATCAACTGGAGAGATGTTATTCTGCTTCCTGTTCTTTTTCTTCTTGTGATAATGGCGTAGGAGATTCAAATATCATTCTTCTACATTCTTGCTACTTGAAAAATTTGTAGTCCTGAGCTCTGGAAGTTGAGGGGATGGGGTAGGCGGGGGAAGGCACTTTCTGTCACTTCGTGGCTCTGGGGCTCCCTCTCTTGGTGTGTTTGTGAAGTGTCTGCAAAGTTGGCTCCTCCTTGGACGCTTGGCTCTGCCCCTCCCGCACGGCGGCCGTCATCTCCTCTGTCCTGCGCCCCTGATTCCAGCCCAGTGAGCGTGGGGTTCACTCCCATGAGTGTCTGTTCCGTGGGTCCTGCCCTGAGAAGCCCTGGAACATCAGTTACAAGAGGTTGTGGGGCTGTCGACGCCCGCTCTTCAGACCTCGCCCCCTATCAGCGCTCCCCTGGCCCCTCAGTCTATTGCAGATTTTGAGGGTCTCCTGCTCGGGGTCCTGCCCGATTCCAGGTTCGATTCCTGGGTCGGGAAGATCCTCTGGAGAAGGGACAAGCTACCCACTCCAGTATTCTTGGGCTTCCCTTGTGGCTCAGCTGGTAAAGAATCTTCCCGCCATGAGGGAGACCTGGATTCGATCCCTGGGTCGGGAAGATCCCCTGGAGAAGGGAAAGGCTACCCACTCCAGTATTCTGGCCTGGAGCCATGGGATCGCAAAGAGTCAGACAAGACTGAGCGACTTTTCACTTCACTCACTGCTCTCGGTCCAGGAGACCCGCCACCTTCTCTCCTCCCCCGCCCCCACTCCGGGCCGCGAGGCCGTGTCGCCGACGGGCGTCTGCTGCCCCCTGGTGTCGGGGTGGGGAAGTGCCGGGTGTGGCCAGGTTTTGTGCATGGTTTCGTCTGTTTTTTGTGTTCTACTCTCCAAGCTGCTGTTTCTGTCAGAGGATGTTTGGAAGAAGTCACGTGGGTGTCCACGGCGGTCTTTCCAGGATTCTCAACGGCGTTTTTTTTCCCCCAGTTATGTGTTTCTTTAGAACATAAAGTATTGAGATGACGGTCACATGACATGAAATTAACTGACGTAACCTGAGCAGTTCTGGGGTCCTGGGGTCAGTCCAAGTGCCCCTCCTCCCAGCCCCCAGCTTGCTTTCTGTCTAGTTCTGGGCTTTTCAGTGAGGTAGTACGGCTAATATTACTTTTCACGTGAGGGACTCACGGCCTGTAAGGATCTGGAGGCGCGGACGAGCACGCGTGTGACGCGATGGTCCGCGGTGGCAGGGGGAACTGCCAGGCCTGTGCTCGCTGCTCAGAGGTGAAGGCTCGGAGTAGTGAGGCCGCGTTTCAGGGCAGAGGACTTGCCTCCCTCGCCTCTAGGCTGTGAAACCTCTCTCAAGACACCCTCGCTCTGATCCTCAGCCAGAAAAAGGTTTTCAAATGGTTAGAAGTCATGGCCCCTTCATGGATTACAGCCTTGTCATGACAAAGGGGCTTGCATCACTCGATGAAGCTATGAACCATGCCCATCAGGGCCACCCAAGACGGATGGGTCATAGTGGAGAGTTCTGACAAAACATGGTCCGCTGGAGGATGGAACGGCACATCACTCCAGTATTCTTGCCACGAGAACCCCATGAACAGTATGAAAAGGCAAAAAGAATTCCAGCAAATTCCAGGAGACAGTGGAGGACAGGGGAGCCTGTTGGGCTACAGTCCATGGGGTTGCAAAAAGTCCGACATGATTGAGCAACTGAACAACAACAATAGTATCAGTGTCTCCTCCAGGTGGTCTGCCCCTGGTGGGAGGTGACTGCAGGAGTCGGGGTACCTTTGGGCAAGTTTTTCCTCCACTTCATGGAGGGCTTCATTTTCTCAACCAAACACACAGGCGGGTGAGCCCCAAGGCCTGAGGGCACAGGACATGAAATCTGGGTGTGAGGGGGTCTGTGGCCAAGTAGGGATGGTGCTACAGCCCCACAGGGAGTCAGCCAGTTGCCTGCATCTGGCTGCCACACAGCAGCATTCCCTCATGTGGGGGTGTATGGGGGATTACTTTCGGGGACTCCTTTCCAAAGACGTTGTTTAGATGTCACCTCCTCTTTGGGGGTGATGTTTCCATCTTTGTCATCACAGCAGCAGGAGAAAGGCTTTTAAGGCAGATTTATTTGATGAGGCATTTTTTTTTTCCTCCTTGTTTGGAGTCACTTTGTTTCTGTGAGTGAGTGATGCTGGTTTTGTAACCACCACCAGACCCTTCCAAGTTCCTCCGTGCTATGCGTCCCTAAAACGAGAGGACTAGGAGATCACTCCCCTGGCATCCAGGCCTTTCTGGGGCCTGGGAGGTAAGAGTCAGGGTGTGACTTGTCAGCCCGACCTCCCTTTTCCAGGTCAGAAACCTCTGCAGCATCAACCATGCAGGGAGGACATGGGGTGTGAGCAGGAGTAGGAGGCGGGTGCAACATTCACTTCAGGAAGAACCCTGACTGTGTAGTGGGAACCGCGCTATGACATTGCTAATGGGGGGGCGGGTATTCTCTCCACGCAGACCTGTCCAAGGCCCTGGTTCTGACAGAAATCGGACCCAGACGGGACCCCGCGACCCTCAAGCTGTTCCTGAGCAACATGGAGAGGCTGCTCCATGCAGGGGCCCACGGGTACACCTCCCCTCCTGGGACCCCCAGGCAGGCACAGCAGCCAGCTACCCCCTGGGCGGGAGTAGGGGACACACATGCCAGCCGATCCACAGCCCCGGGTCGGGGCAGGGCCCTGAGCTCAGCGCCCCTGTGACATCAGCGATGCCCCACCCCCTCAGTCTCCCCTGGGTCTGCCCTGTGACTGCAGCCGCTCCACGTGGTCTAAATCCAAGGTCATCAAGGGTTCGCAGAGTGAAGGCTGAGTTCTTCCGTTGCAGCACCAGCCACACTTCAGGCTCTGCAACTGAGGGCTGGTCCGTCAGCACAGGTGCTTCTGTTGGGCAGCACGGCTCTGGGTCCAGAGCTCAGAGTAGAGCTTGTGGGAAGAGGCCCTGGGCTCCTGTTCAGCTCCAGAGTCAGGGGACCTTCAAGGGGCACCACTGGAGCAGGGCCATTCAGTGTGCTCACCCCCTTCCTGTCTGGCAGGGTTCGTGTCATTGGCAGCTCCACCCTGGCGCTCTGCCACCTGGCTGCAGGCACCGCCGACGCCTACTACCAGTTTGGCCTGCACTGCTGGGACCTGGCTGCAGCCACCGTCATCATCAGGGAAGCTGGGGGCGTTGTGATGGACACATCAGGTGAGCTTGGCCATCACGCTGCTCTCTGTCCCTAGGGGTGTGTCCCCCAGACAGACCCACAAGCTCAGATGGACATCCTCCCTCCTCTCCTGACAGATGGGTCGGGAGGACAGTGGGCCAGGCCAGAGGGCTTCTCCCTCTTCCTGGTGTGAAAATGAACCCAGGGTCAGGACTCAGGGGTGGGGTGGGGGAAGGGCGGGCAGTGTTTTCTAAGCTCTCACATCCACCAAGACTGCAGAGCTGGCCATGTGCCCCCCAATCTAATGATGAGGTTTTAGTTGGTGAGCCAAGAGGTGACCTATCCCTCTGCCTTGAGGTCACCACCCTAGTGATTGGCCCCACAGGGGCAAGTCCCGCTCCAGGGACACCCATGTAGCCACCTCTTACGTCAGGTTTCTTGTGGAGCCTGTTCTCCCCCACCTTTGCTCCAGAGCCTGTTGTGGACATGCCAGGCTCCCGAATAACCTGTGGGGCCTGTGCTGGCCCTTGCCTGTTGCTCCTTCTCCTTGGGGCCTGGTGGAACTGCAGGGCGGGGGGGCATGATGTGAAGACACCTTGGCTTTGGGCATCAAGGACAGGGAGGCCCATCTCAGCTGAAGACATGTCTGTCCTGGATGTGAGTACACAAGCATGCATACACACAAACATAACATGTGCACCAAGATCTCCCAGATATGACCATGTGAGCACATACAAACACACAAACATGCATGTGCACCAAGGTCTCCCAGACATGACCACAAGCACACGCACACACAAACATGCATGTGTACCAAGGTCTCCTGGATGTGACCACATGAGCAAATGCACTTGCAAATACCCACATGCACCAGGGGCTCCAGGTTGTAAGCACACACAAACACACGTGTGCACCAAGGTCTCCAACGAGTCCATTAGGCCTGTTCACACCTCCAGGAGGCTGAGGTCCTTCATCCTTCCCCAGATATCTGGTGCCTAGAGCATCCATTTCAGGGGCCTGTCAGAAAGGTCACCCCCCAGCCTCCCCAGGCCTACGGGGTCCCTGGTGCCCCAAGCACACAGAGATTGAGGACTGCCTCCTGTATTGAGCCTCAGGCACTGCACCTGAAGCTGGTATTCCCTAGCACAGCCTCAGGACACACTGGGCCTACAGGCTGGATGGGCCGGGTCAGGCAGAGCAGGGCTGGGGCTAACCCCTCACCCGATGCCCTGTCCCTCTGTCCACAGGCGGGCCACTGGACCTCATGTCATGCAGGGTGGTTGCTGCAGGCACGCGGGAGATGGCGGTGCTCATTGCCCAGGCCCTGCAGACAATTAACTACGGGCGGGACGATGAGCGGTGAGGGGAGCAGACACAGGGCCACCCTGGATGGGGCCTACCGGGAGCCTGGAGCTGGCGAGACCCTGAACAACAGGGATTCCTGATCCCCAGAGGAGCTGTCAGGCCGAGCCTGGCTGTCCGGCTGAGCCCGTGTCTGGGCTCCTTTGCTGTCTGGTGTCTTCTCTCTGTGACCTCACATCAGGTTAGTCCAGCCATCCACCAGGGCCGGAAACCAGATCTCACAGGACATATGTACTGATACTGCAATCATGACTTTGTTTCCAGAATGCAAATCTCAGGTGATAAGGCTTTAGAACTGCTGATAAAGCAGGATTGTTCTCAGCACCCCTCCCTGGCCCCCCATGACACTTCAGAATACAATAAACCAAGTGATGCCACTCTGCTTATGTTTCCCTCCACAAGTGTGTCTCCTGTTTCCCCTAATGACCCCAAAATCCGCAGGCCCTTTAGGGAAGTTGTTGGCACGTTACAGCCCAGAGTTCACACATGGTTTGTTGTCTGCCTGCCACTGGTGATGACAACTTCAGTCATTATCGCATCTGTATTTAAAATCCGAGGCATGGGTCAGACTGAAGAAAACCTAACGAAACTCAAATCTCTTAAATCCTATTGCTTTTGTGATCAATTTAATGAAGAAAAGTATTTTTCTTGGCCTTATTTTTTTCTCTTTAGAAAGAGGAATTCTATATAAGAATAATTCTAATGAGGACATTCTCTGGCTGAACTGAAACATTCACTGAGGTTTAAGAATCGAGAAAGTCAGTCTTAGGACAGAGGAAGTTCCAGTCATGCTTAACTTTCTCCGTTGTATCCTAATTTGCTGTCAACAATACTTACAGAGCGTTTAGAACCGCCTGGCAGCTGCCGCCTCTGGCACCTGAACTCCAGGGCTCAGCCCGTATAATGACACAGGCCTTGTCACCAAACTGCGCCCAGAGAGCCTCTGTGGACACCGCGGAGCCTCACAACCCTGCACGCTGACTCCCCCTCACCATCCGCCGCCCTCCACTCACAGGGCAGGTGCCCACTCAGACCCCTGGAAGATAGACCCCAGGGGGTTTCCCGGGAAATCCCCTCCCAAGTCCCCAGAGGGCTCATCTCCACCCTGCCTTGGGTTGCGGATTGATAAGTTTGTTATCTTTAGGAAGGAGTTTCCTTATCTGAATTGGGGTGCCAGGTGAACCCCTAAATGGTGCAATGTTCAAGGGCCCAGACACGTGAGGACTGGGGTCTCCTTTGGAGCTAACGAGTCTCCCACCCCTGTGCACAAAGACCCAACTTTGATAGCCACAGGCTGTGTTGGGGCGTAGGGGCCTCAGCAGCTGGAGGAGGGGCCATTTACTGCCGTTGCAACTGGGGGGGGCTGGTCCCCCTCCCCATCCCTGGGGTGGAGACCACATGCAGAGCCAGATAGGGCCAGGGTAGATGTGTGGGGCAAGAGGTTTGGACCCCCACTCCTGACCATCCAGGGTCTCGTCCCTGGGCCTTTGCCATCTCTCGACTTGGAGAAAAGCCTGAGTTTCTGCTCACCTGGCTCACTGCCACAGCTTGATGCTGGCGTGGGTGCCCTGTTTCTGCTCTGGCTGCAACAGACTTCTAGTTGGCAGAGAGGTCATTGCAGAAAAGAAAGGAAAAGGCCTGGGCCACCTGGCTTTATATTTTTAAAAATGATGTTGCCACATCTGTCCACCTATGTCCCCAGTGGCACTGTTCACAGTCGCCAAGAGAGGGGAGCCACCCCAGTGTCCATTGACAACCAATGGATGAATGGAATGTGGTCCATCCACATGGTCGGGATGGTATTCAGCCTAAAAAGAAAGGGGATCCTGCCACCTGCCACCAGGTGGATGAGCATTCTGCTCAGTGAAGCCAGCGGACACAAAAGGACCAACACCGAACTTGACAGAGCAGTCAAGTTCGTGGAGACAGAAGTAGGCCCCGGGGCCTCAGAGAGGGATGAGGGGTTATTGTTTGAAGGGTGTGTGGCTGCTGCTGCTGCTAAGTCACTTCAGTCTTGTCCGACTCTGTGCGACCCCATAGATGGCAGCCCACAAGGCTCCCACGTCCCTGGGATTCTCCAGGCAAGAACACTGGAGTGGGTTGCCATTTCCTTCTCCAATGCATGAAAATGAAAAGTGAAAGTGAAGTCGCTCAGTCTCGACCGACTCTACGCGACCCCATGGACTGTAGCCTACCAGACTTCTCTGTCCATGGGATTTTCCAGGCAAGAGTACTAGAGTGGGTTGCCATTGCCTTCTCCGTTGAAGGGTATGGGTCAACTCTATTTCAATAGAATTTTTTTATTAAAAATAAAGTGTATGGAGATTCCATTGTGCAAGATGAAACATGCAGATCTATTGCATGAGCATAGATGTACTTAACAGTATATAAGTAAATATACAGTATTTAAATATACAGATAACAGTAAATATCCTTAACAGTATTGAACGGTACACTTAAAATGGTTTAGATGGTAAATTCTGTGTTATGTGGTTTACCACAATTAAAATATTTTAAAATTACTTTTAAAATATGATGCCTACTGGTCTTACTGTTCTCTCTTTTTGCAGCATTATTTATGTATTTTATATCTTTACATCATTTTGTATTGAGGCATAGTTTGCATACAATAAATTCCACCGCTCTGGTATGTTCAGTTTTTGAGTGTTGACTATTCCAGTGTTTCACTATTAGTATCATGTTAGTTGTAAAGTTTTGTTTCTTTTTTTTAGTTCGGGTGTAATTCACATACCATAAAAGTCTCAGTTTTAAAATTTACAGTTCAGTGAAAGTTGCTCAGTCGTGTCCGACTCTTTGCAATCCCATGGACTGAGTCCATGGAATTTTCCAGGCCAGAATACTGAAGTAGGTAGCCTTTCCCTTCACTAGGGGATCTTCCCAACCCAGGGATCGAACTCAGGTCTCCCACATTGCAGGCAGATTCTTTACCAGCTAAGCCACAAGGGAATTTCAGGTATTCACCAGGCTGTGTTACCATCACTACTGTCTAATTCAGAACATTCGTGACCCCAAAAAGAAACCTCTGAACCATCAGCCATCACTCCCCACCCCTCTTTTCCCAGCCCTGGCAACCACAGATCTATTTTTTTCTCTACGGCATTGACAGTTCTGGACATTTCTGGCTTCCTTCACTTAGAACAATGTATTCAAGTTTGGTTCATCTTGCAACAGGTGTCAGTCCTTTATTCTATAGCTGCAAACGGGTCCATTGTATGGATATAGCATATTCTGTTTATCCATTCATCAGCTGATGGATATTTTGATTACATTTCCACTTTTTGTGATTTGGGGTAACACTGCAAAAATAATCATGTACAGATTTCTGTGTGAATATATGTTTTCGACTTTTGTGTGTGTGTGTGGAGTGTATATCTGGGAATGGGATTGCTGGAGCACATGGTAACTCTTTGTCTAACTTTGTGAGGAATTTGCCAGTCTGTTTCCATAGCAGTTGCACCATTTTACATCCCCCAGCCATGTATGAGGCTTCTGATTTCTTCATATTCTTGTCAACCTCTGTTATTTTCTATCCATTTTTTAGCTTTCTGTTTTTGATATTTTAGCCATGTTAGTGGAGTTGAATTGGCCCCTCTGTTGGTGTTTCTCTTCTTTTAAGAATCCTCCATAATTAAGTCTGTACATTTACACAGAAGCATTCTGAAGAGCATTGAACATAATTGAAGAGCATTCTGAACTAGTTTTTTTAAATAACTGACCAGTTAATATTTGAATTAGTAATTCATACACATGGTTTAAGTTAAAAGGTACAAAATTCACAATGTGCCAAAAAGCTAAGAGATAAAAATTAAATTTCCTTTCTGCCTCTCGTCTCTCATGTCCCTAGTGAGGCAAATGTTGCTAATAGTTTTAGAGCAACTTATGACAGGTTTTGTGTGACCCACCATGGAGATGCTGATGGGGGCCCATGTGTGAGTATGAGTGTGAGTGTGTGTGTGTGTGTGTGTGTGTGTGTGTCACAGGTGCAAAGCATGATCTGCTATTATGAATGATTCCTCGCTCCTTCTAAGACTCCACCTAAGGCATTACAAGCCACACCTAAGAACACTTGACAGATCTGATTTAGATCTGTCCTCCCCCATCATGTAATAGAGGTGATTGGATGACTGAGTTTTAAATTTATGCAGAAGTGATAAGCTTTTTGTTTGTCTTTTTGGCAATATTTATTGACCAGTTCATGGGATCTATATGCCAAATGAGCTTCCCAGGTGGCGCTAGTGGTAAGTAATCTGCCTGCCAATGCAGGAGACGCAGGTTCGATTCCTGGGTCAGGAAGATGCCCTGGGGAAGGAATCCACTCCAGTATTCTTGCCTGGGAAATCCCATGGACAGAGATGTCTGTCCAACTACAATCCATGGGGTTGCAAAGAGTTGAGCAAGACAGAAGTGACTGAGCAGGTATGCACTCATAGGCTAAATGAGTTTCAAAGTTGCAAACTTTATAAGAAAAAGGTGGAGGGGCTCAGGACGCTAATAATAATTTGGATACAATTTCTTTAAAAGCAAAAAAAAACCCTGCATGTAGTATGTCTGCTGAATGCAGTCTTCGGACAGCTGTGTTCCTTTATCTTTATCTTCATCAGGAGGTTTAATATCATCTGCTCATGTGGAGATCCCACTCTTGCAGGCTGGCTTCAGTGATAAAGAGGAAGGTGGCATCCTGGGTGCCCCCATAACGACACAGAGCAGGTTCTGACCCATTAACACAATTTCGTTTTTTACGAAAGCCGCCCTCTTTCTGAATTCTTGACCACTAAATTAAGACACATCGTTTAATGAGCACTTGCATGCATGCATGCTAAGTTGCTTCAGTCATGTTCAATTTCTTTGCAACACTATGGACTATAGCCCACCAGGCTCCTCTGTCCATGGGATTCTCCAGGCAAGAACACTGGAGTGGGTTGCCATGCCCTCCTCCAGGGGCTCTTCCCGACCCAGGAATCCAATCTGCCTCTCTTATGTCTCCTGCATTGGCAGGGGGGTTCTTTACCACTAGTGCCACCTGGGAAGCCCAGTGAGTGCTTAGGAATTCACGAAGTGAGAGCTGCAAACACGGACTCCATTGACTGCTCTAATGTATCAATAAATCCTCCTGAACAGTCAAAACAGTCCTTTCACACTAGTCCTTTCTGTCTGGCCCATGCTGCAGGCAGGCTTAGGCTGCCCAACCTTGAAAAGACATATGCTTAGTTCAGTGCTGTTTATACACATGAACAAAGGGAAAGTGCTCAATATTTGTCAAGGGGAAATGTTGAATACAGTGTGTTATCTTCATGCTGTGATACATGTTATGCAGCGTTAAAGTCTGAAGTCAATCAGTGTGCATTAGACATGACTGAGGTGTGAAGCACAACACTGCATATAATATGTGTAATATAGTACCATCTGTGTAAACAGACCACACGCAGTGATACTCATGTTGTGCGTGTATTTAACCACGTAGAAATAATCCCATGGCAGGACTCAGGTCAAGTGAGGAGGTGGGCAGAACTGTGACAGTAGTCTGGGAACACCTCACCTTTTCTGTAAGGTTTTAATGTAAACACCTCACAACAAGGTGTTCGTGTTTTACAGAGTTAAAGTTTCACTGACGCCTTTGTGGAAAGCGTCTGGCACCAGTTTGTGTACACGTGTTATGGCGGTGCTGGCCCAGCTCCGCTCTGCCCTTCCGCCCACTTGGGAAAGACCAGGAATTAGCCCCAAAACACAGCCTTCTCTGGGCCCTTTCTCTGCAGAGAAGTCAGCAGAGCAGCACATCACCTTTGTTCCTACATTTGGAAGAAAAGGAAACATCCACGCCCAGGAATGACACAACCACAGGGAGAGGAGAGTCAGGCTAGTCTGGGTCGGGGGGTGGGCAGGCCCGGGGGTAAGGGGCAGATGAATCCTGGTCCCTTAGGCTCCTCAGCCCGTGGACCCCTCAGAGGGCCTGGGTATAGGGGTTTCTGAGGAGACGCTGCAGTTTGCATTGATACTATATTTAAGGGTCTTGAACCCCCAAGGGCTGAGAACCACTGCTCCAAGATCTCAGTGAGCATCATGGGCATGAGTTGTATGTCAACCCCGGGGTCTTCATGCTGGCTACATAGACTCCATGAGGTTGTGAAGTCCAGTCGGGAAGAGGAGGACTTCTGCTCCTAGTCCAGTTGGGGAGACAGTTGTCTCGACTGAGGGCTGTTACACAAGCTCCTGCCCCTGTGGCCTTACATACAGCCTGACCTGCTGTCTCCCAGCCAGGCCCTGGGCAGATGGGAAGGCCAGTCCAGGGCCTCACCCCAGCCAGTGGCAGGGCTGGCACCCGGGGCCAGCTCCACCCCTCCTGGCTGTGGTTCTTCTGTGTGCGGAATTCCCACTACACAGAGAAGCCTGCCCGGCTCCCAGACCTGCTTTCCTTGGCTGCCACTGGACTATAGGTGTGAGTGGGGTGAGGCCCCATCCATGGCACTGCTATGCAGATTCTCCCTGACCCTGGCTCCTCCAGATCCCCCCACACCCCCTGCATCCTGGTGTGCCTCTGCCCTTCCTGAAACAGCACAGAACAGCCCCCACCACACACGGCCCCCTACCCTCACCTGGCCCCAGCTCCAAAGTCCCTTCCAGGGCACTTTAAGGTAGAATTCACACCTTTGCCCCCTTTGAAATCGGCTTTCATGTGTTGCTGCTGCCATAGCATCTTGTTCACTCACTCACTCACTCATTAACAAGCCTTCACCCTCGAGGGCCCAGGAGTCAATGAGCTGTACCTGCTGCCTGGTTGGTTCCGTGTACAAGGCTCTTGTGAACCTGACCCTCGCTACTCCAGTCTGGGCCCGACCCACCTGGACCTCAGGCATGGAGGCCATGTATATGCACAAGGCGACAGTGATCCCAGGGTCTGGGGAGCTCGATTGTAGACTGAACATCAGGTGCAGTTGGGAGTCATTTTTATTTCTTTAGGAGAGGAAACATCACTGTTACGTGTAACAAAGTTCTGGTTTCTTCAGAGATGCGAGTTGAAGCATTTGGGGTTCAAATAAAAATGTGGATAAAAAACAAGCAATTATGTCAAAATATTAAAGGGTGGCTGAATCCACGCACTGGGTATAAAGATGCTCATGGCATGTTCTTTCTATAAGTCTTTATATTTGAAATTTTTTGCAATAGAGCATTCTTTTAGAGGTGAGTTGATTGAACTGACTGGACCTACTGTCTCATTGTCAAGATGCATGTCCAGTCTGGTGGGGCTGCTCTGACAGAGTTCTGGACACCGATGGTTTATTATGAACAACAGTTTTACTACCCAAGGTTCTGGAGGCTGGAAGCCCCAGATCTGGACCAGCAGGGCCGGTTCTGGTGACACCGTCTCCTGGTTCACAGCAGACCGTCCCTTCCTTCCCTGTGTCCTCAGGAAGCAGAAGGGGTGAGGAAGCTCTTTTACAAGGACAGTAACTTCATCCATGGGGTAACTGGCCCCATAACCCAAGCACCCACTCCCCACCCAGGCCCACCTTCTAAAGCTAGCACACTGGCCATTAGAAGGTCAGTACATGAGTTGTGGGGGGTATACAACATTCAGGCAATTGGCAGAGGGAGGGGTCCAGCTGGGGCTCTGGGCCCGAACCCCATGTCGTCCACCCAGGCTGGATCCCCGCAGGACCCCGAGAGGCCAGGGCTCTGGCAGGAGATTGCTTTTGGCCCCACACGCCTCTCGGTGACACCATGAGCCTCGGGGCAGGACGTGTGTTTGTCTCTGAGATGGGGGAGGAGGAGTGGGGGGAACTCGGGCACCAGGGCCAGCTGTGCAGGTCACGTGAGTCCGGGGACCGAGGCAGAGGTCAGGCGACAGAGCTCTGGGAGCCGGCTCCACGCGGCCCGGCGGGCAGCGCGCCGATGGGGGCCAGTCACCCCGAGCGCAGGCGGCGCTGGACAGTGTTGGCTCGGTTTCTCCTTCCGAAGGGTCAGGGTCAGTGCCCCACCCCCTAACCCGCTCTAGAGGGTCGGCTTCGCAATTAAGAGTCGAAACAGCGGACAGCCCGGCCCCTCTGAGGTCTGACCCCTTCCGGCAGCGGGGTACCTGCCCATCCCTTCCCACGTCCCGAGTCCCGCATCCTGGGCCGCACCCGCCCCTCCACTGCAGAGGCTGCGCTGCCAGCGAGGCGATGTCCCCACTGACCCATCGGACAGGCCGACCAGCGACCCTCGAAGGCCCGGGGAACGGCTGGGCTCCGGGGTTGGCGGCCGAACGGCTGTCGGGTGCAAACCTCCGCAGCCCGAGAGGCGTGGACCTGGGCGGGGCGAGCGGTGGCGCTTTAAGAGGCCCGAGCGCCAGGAAGCCGGCCCGGCGGGGCTGACCAGGCTGAGCGATGGAGACGGCCCGGGACTGCGCCGGAGCCCTGCTCAGGCGAGTGCCGCGCTGGCCTGCGCCCCCGGCGCCTCGCATTCCCCTGGCGCCCCCGCCGCCTCGGGGCCCCTCGTCTCCCCGCCCCCCTGGGCCCCCTACGCCCGGTATCCCCCTGCGTCCCGCGTCCCTCTGCGCGACCCTGCACCCTCAGCCCGCGTGCGTCCCCTCCCAGGTCTCCGGCCGCCCCCAGCGCCAGGTGCGCGGGCTCCGGGAACAGGTGACCGTGGTGAGTGCCTGAGCCGCATCTCTTGCAGCCGCGGGAGCAGACGAAGCGGGATCCAGGAGACCCCCGGCGCGCGCGGGGCCAGGCTGCTCCGGGTCCCCGACCAAGACGGGAGCCAGGGCGAGACGAGGGGCTCCGGTGGGACGCTGGGGGGCCTCGGAGTGGCCAGCTCACCCCTCAGGGCCGCGCGGGCTCCGGCGCTACCTCATGGCGCTGGCTGAGCTCCCGGGTTTGTACCGCGGAGTTTGGGGGGAAGCTGTGACACTGCGGCCGGGGCTGGGGATGCGGGGCAGTGGTAGAGGGGCCTGCGACCCCGGGGCCTCCTCGCCTGCCTCACACGCACGGTGACCGAGGTTCCGCATCACTTTTCCTTCTTGGGTTCGTCTTAACATCCAAAAACCCAACCCCCTCCTCCTCTGTAAAATCCTGACGATCCTGGTGGGAGTGACTGTAGATTTAAGGGAGGGTCATGCTTCTCTGTAGATCGTCAAAAGGAGCGGAGAAGCCCTTGGGAGCTTTATTTATTTTTTTTTTACTTTATTTTTAAATTGAAGGATAATTGCTTTACATAATTTTGCTGTTTTGTGTCAAATATCAACATGAATCAGTCATAGGGGTACATATAAATGCAGGTTTTCCCAGGTGACTGGGGTGGAGGGGTTGGGTGGGTGAGGAGGTAATGTAAACTGTGAGCTTCTGAACCTGGGTCCTTAAAGGGGGCTTCCTGCCATTTCCAGGGTTAGAGAGCTGCCAGATAGAAGGGGAGTTGTCTGGCTGGGGTTGTCTCTTTAAAATTGGGACCCCAGGAAGGTGAGAAACAGACTTTTTCATGCCTCTTCTCTCCTGTGGTTTAGGCCTAAAGGAAGGGCCCTGGGGTTTTCCTGGTTTATTCCTCTTCCTCCAACTCCACTCACAAGCCTCCCCCGCCCCCAGTCCCACTCCTGGGGTAACAAATGCTGACAGTTTGGAGTGCATCCTCCAAATGTTTCTCCCAAGGACCTCTCTGAGGTCCTCTGGGCACTGAGCTGGTAGGCCAAATTGGAAGGACGACAGGAGCACAAGTTCCTGGCTGGTGTGGCCTGGAACTGGAGGACAAGGCAAGACCTGCAAGATTAAGGCTGCCCCTGCCCTTACACCTGACCCAACAGCAAGATCCCAAAACCAAAACGTCTGTGTGAGGAGGAAGGACTTGCTTCTGAAGTCTTGCTTCTGCACAGTTACTGCGCAAATGATCTCATGGGGAAGGACTAATCTGCTTAGCCAGCCCTGAGTTCGGGGCTCTGGGTGGAGGACCATCCTGGGAACACACTGTCTCCAGGTCCTGCTTCCACGCTGAGCTGCTTTGATTCATGGGACCCCACCTGCTTCTGCCCACCTGTAATACTTGCTGAAAAGAAAACTTTCATCCTCTGCCTTCCTTAAAGCTATGTCCAGGCTGCATGAGTCCCCCTGGCAGGCAAGGTGACTGCTGGACTTCTGTCGCCTCTCAATGGTCCTGGTAGAGCTTTCCTAACTCTATCTTTTGTTAGTAAGTACCTGCATGTTGCCAAAGCAGGAACCTAATGTCTTTTTGTTTTTTTTTAACAGCAGATGTGGGTAAACAATGATCTTAACCCAGTCGTTAGTTTGTTCATTGTCTGATCAGGAGGCCTTGGTTGTAGTGGAAGCAGCCCAAGATCTCCTGGCTCGGCTCCGGATGCCCAGGATGTCCATCCCCACAGTGTGTGTGTTGTTGCAGACACAGCCTGCTCTGACTTTGTGTCCTGGCGGCGATAACATGCACACTGAGATAGTTACAGAGCTCATCTCCGGCACACTTTGTGCAGAGTAGCTGTTTGGTCCTCTTTCCTTGAACAAAGATCTCTCGGTTTTGAATAGCTGCCTCTGGGGACAAATTTGACCAGTCTTGTAGGTGACGCAAGGGAGGAATTGACTTTTCTATGGTTACTGATGCTTACTCCTTTGTGGTCTAAACTCTTATGTTAATAACATTCAAAGTGTACAGAGACTTCACAGCCATGTGCTGGATGTGCTTTCTAGCCAAGCATTTTATCCCAGAGTGGGGGGGGGGGGGGTGGTCAGGGCTCAAGGCACAGTATGTGTGGTCACAGTCCCATCAGAGAGCTCCTGGTGGGGCCCCATGTCCCATGTGTTGCTAGTCGCTGGCCAGGCATCGCTGGAGGGCAAGAAGCCTCTTAGGGGCCAACACTGCTCTGCTTCCTGCCCCAGTCAGACACACTTACCCCCAAACACTGTCACTCACCTGCTGTCCCTGCAGTTCTTGGAGGCCCTGCCAGGCCTGATGGATGCTTTCCAAGGTCTGTCCCTCTCTGCCATCCTACAGCTGGGGTCGCATGTCCCTTCCAGCACTGTCCTATCACCTGACTGTGGGCATAGGATCTGTCTGAGCTTTATCACTTCCCGTGGACCCTCCTTGTCCACACGACAACCTGTTCCTGGGCCCCCTGCTGCCCCCCCAGCACTTCTAGAATAAACACCAGTTCAGAGTGCAGCCTAGAAAGATGCCATCTTATGACTTGGAGGCCCAGCTTTGCTCCACTGCAGTGGAGTTCACATCCATGGTCAGTCAATGCCTATTGCTTTATTTCCCATCTGTGTGTGTTAAGGTCTCCTCAGTCCCTCCAGGAAAAGGTAGACATCCCTGTCCCCTCAGTTCTGGGACCTGTGCCCCTCCACAGTTTCCAAGAACCTTCCATGAAGTCTGACTTCTCTTATCTTGATTTCCCTGAAAAAAATATTTCCTTGAAGAACCTGTTTCCTTGTTTTTCCGTGTCCTGAGCCTTTCCCCTTCCTGTTTCATGTGATCACCTGCACCTTCCTGGGGATTAGAGGGTGGCCAACATGACGTGTCACCAGAAGCTGGATTCTAAGACTTCTCAGTGCTTCTGGGACAACGTCCCTGTAGGAGGTTGTAGGAGGTTGGGGGCGGGGGAGGGGCAGGGCTGTTTGATGGCCAGTGACACAAATGATCCCACTAAGAGGACCAGACTGAGTTGGATTAATGTGTTGCTTTGTTCATGTGGCTAGTTGAGCCCGCTGTCCACTTAGCTGGGGCAGAGTAAGCACCTGGTGTTGGGTGAGCCGGTTGGGTGTACCTAAGCCTTTTCTCAACACTGACCCAGTTCTTGGTTGGGAAACGTAAGGTCTAAGGACAGCAATAACTGAACGTCCTCCTTTATCACAACTGGTGATCTCAGAGCAGTGAGGAGGAAGGCCAGCGCTTATCTGGTCAGAAGTTAAAAGACAATGAAGGCTTTGTGATGGCGGAGGGAGGTCAGCGGATCACTGGTGCTCACAGAGGTGCAAGCGTCTGCAGAGATGAGGAGATTCGGGCCCTGACTAACTGGGTCAGGGCTGTAGGGCCCACAGTGTGCACTGATGCCCCGGGGCCCTGGGCCGGGTTCTGAGACGTGAACTTTGTCCTCCTATTTCTCTGGTTGAGCCTGAGTCTTTCCTTTCTCAGGAACAAAGGAATGGCTCTGGGCGGAGGGAGGATCTTGCTGGCAGGCCCCGGGCTCTTCTGCACTAGAGGAAGGTTTCACCAGTGGGAGGGAGGGTGGGAAGGGCATTCCTCCCACCCCGACCCTGGCGACCCTTCCCTCTGCCCTGAGCACCACCCCCCACACTCGGCTGTGAGCTTGTGTCCTGATCAGGCAGTGAACCTGTTCCTTTCTTTGCTCCTTACAGCGAGCTCATTTTGGATCAGGCTGAGAATAGAGCTGGGTTCCAGGTGTAAAGCATCATGTGGGTTATCCTCATTGTCCTGTCTGCCGGGTTCCCCAGGAGGGAAGGCACCAAGCAACTTCCCTGCAGCGTCACCCTGGCAGACGTGGGCCCCTGGTTGTCATGTTGTGTAACTGAGGAGCCTGTGTAATCCCTGGAATCGGGGCAGAGGTCCAGAGGCCATGTGCCAGGCCCTCCACTGGGTCGGCTCAGGCCTGGACTCCCTCACTGGGCTGGCCTTGGTCTGGAGGAGAGCTGCGTAGAGACCAGTGACCAGTCCCCTTGCAGCTGTTATGCTGGACACAGGCCGGGTGATGACCCTGGAGAGGAGCCAGGGCTGTTCTTCTGGCGGGCAGCTCTCCCTCACCAGCTCCAGCTGATGTTTATTGCTTAAGATGAAGTTCAGAAAGATTCATTAACTGGGTGACCTTGAGAAATCATTCTGAGCCTTGACTTTCTTACCTGAGAAATGGGGTATTACTTTCCTTGTAAGGTTGTAATGAAATTAGTTGATATATTTTAAAAGCCAGCATGCTGCTGGCCATGGCAGGTGCTTAGATGCCTTCAGTCACAAGGCACAAGCCTGATGCCGGCCAAATAAGCTTCAGACCAAATCCTTGCTGGCAGTCTAGGTAAAGAGGCTGTGGCACAGGTTCCGGTGTACCAGGGTGGGGGAGGGGCTTCCCACACAGCACCAGGCATTTCTAAGACGCCAGTGGGGTGCCCAGGGATTCAGCTCAGTCTCGACCCCATCTACTCAGAGACAGTGTCTGATCCCACAGGATGCGGGCTCAGCCCCACAAGACTACCCCCTGCCTGCACCTTAGATGCCAGTCACAAGTCTAGGTTGTCACCTTTGTCTGTAAGGAAAGTCCAGTCTAGTTGGAGATATAAAATATAGATAGATTAAAAAAATATAGATAGATAGATAAATGACTGACATATGCAGAGGTGTGTATGAAAGTGAACGTGTTCATTGCTCAGTCATGTCCCATCAGTGTGACTCCATGGACTGTAGCATGGCTTCTCTGTCCATGAAATTTTTCAGGCAGGAATACTGGCTGGGTAGCCTTTTCTTCCTTAGTCTTACTGTACAAATCAATAATTGTTTGTGTGTGTGCCTGATTCTTTAAGTCTACTCAGCTGCTCCTGGCCTGAAGAAATCATTTACTTAGGCTTTTCAACTCTAAAGCCAACATTCGCAGAATATCATCCTTATTTCTCCTTTGAGTTTGGTGCCTTTACCTCTCCTTCTCAAACAGTTATCTCGAGGGCTTTGAATGTTCCTGTGTTTGTTAATTTTACATATTTGTTTGTTTCTTGGGTATCAGGTACACAATTTTTAATCATCCCCAACCATTGACTTCCTTTCTTTAGGTGCAAATATTAATCTTGTCTTATTTCCACATACTTTAAACCTCTCTTTAAAGACTCTTCTTTAAAGTAACCCCAGTTTGCTTTCATTTGACCCTTCCTTTCCAGGCCCCTGACGTTCATGGGGTCGCAGACAAAGAAGGTGCTGTTCACACCCCTCATGCATCCCGCTCGCCCCTTCCGTGTCTCCAACCATGACCGGAGCAGCCGCCGAGGGGTGATGGCCAGTAGCCTGCAGGAGCTCCTCAGCAAGGTACCCCCATCAGCCACGAGGGCCCCCAACTCACAGGGTCTTGGGGACAAATCAGTGCAAGACAGGGAGCTTGGGGGAGACTTCTGGGGTTAAAGGGAACATTGCTGTGTCCCTGTCCCTTACAGGACTTAGGTACAGACACGAGAGCCCTCAAAATAGCCATTAACTGGGAATTCCTTGGTGGTCCAGTGGGTAGGACTCTGAACTTTCACTGCTGTGGGCCAGGGTTTGACCCCTGGTCAGGAAACTAAGATCCCACAAGCCCTGTGGTATGGTCAAAAATAAAAAGAAAATAAAAATAAATTTTAAAAAATAAGAAGGAAACAACCATCATTTGATAATGTGGCTTTAGTTTCTTGACAAGGGAGAATATAGAAGGCACAACTTTAGAAATCTGGTTTTGGTTATAAAGGTTGGGGACCAATTGTTCTTAATCTAAAACAGTGTCCTCAATCACCCAATAAGGAAGAATTGTAGACTTTCACCAGAGACAGGACCTGAGCATCCAACACGCTGTCTCTGAAGCGACAGAGACATGGCTCTCTAAGCATCATGGACACAGGGTCGTTCTTTTTATTTGTCCAAATAAGCAAGACATTTTAGAAACTGAATATTGTTCACTGTAATTCCTTACCTCACGATGTTGAAACCTCTAAAGAAGTTAGATCCGTTCAACTTTTCAACTTCTCTCTTCCAAGCAAAGTCTGAGTTATAGACATCAGCCAAGGTACAGCTTTACCATTTAGATCCTCAAAGTCAGCCAACACTTCGGGGACCATGACTTAATAGATGCTACTGATGGGTCCAAACAGAGTCACTTCACCTGGTGACACTGGTGTGTTCCGTCTGACCTAGACCCTGGATGCGCTGGTGGTCGCCAGCCAACTGGTCACCTTGGTGCTGGAGGAGGATGGCACTGTGGTGGACACAGAGGAGTTTTTTCAGACCCTGGGGGACAACACACACCTCATGGTCCTGGAGCAGGGGCAGAAATGGACACCGGTAAGTGCGTCATCTGGGCGGCAGCTGGGCAGGCTGCTTACCTGGGTAAGTGCGGTCCCCACTTGGGGTCGACTGGCTCACTTTCTGAATACTTCCTCTGTGTTCACCCAGTAACTGGATCTGCTGCCCTCCAGGGATGCTTCTAAGTATTTCTAGGAAACTTGGCATCTTTGCAAACCTGGGCTGTGTGGTTTAGAGCCAGTAATTCTGAGGGTCAGGCTTCGGCCAGTGAGGAGCTGCAGACCCTGTTAGGGCATGTGGATCTGACCTGGACCTCGGAGGCAGTGAGATGACACAGCCGGTGAAATTAGGGTGGTATGTTAGGGTATAAACCCAGTGAGTTAGACAAGCAAAGAAGTGGCATAAAGGGTTTTATTTCTGAGAAAACTATAGATTATAAATCTTGAAAAACATTCCCACCATAAAACACCAAAGCATGTAAAACATAATATTCAAACATCTTTTTGTATGCCTAACTAACTTTCCCTGTGGCTCAGATGATGAAGCACCTGCCTGCAATGTGGGAGACCTGTTTTTGATCTGTGAGTCAGGAAGATACCCTGGGAAAGGGAATGGCGACCCACTCCAGTGTTCTTGCCTGGAGAATCCCATGGACAGAGGAGCCTGGTGGGCTACAGTCTATGGGGTCACAAAGAGTCAGACATGACTGAGCAACTAACACAACTGTCCTTCAACAAGGGGAAATCTTCAGAGGCCAACATTCTATGGGAACCAGAATCCAGAGGCAGAAGGAGATGCCGAAGTTGGTATCTCCCCTCTGGGCAGCCAGTGACCCCAGCGCTGCTGGAGGCTGGGCAGATGGCTGCCCACCTGTCTCTCCCAAGCATCGGCCTCAAGCTTCCCCCTGAGTCTTTAGAGTCTGCTGAATCTGAGACCACCCAAGCTGAGTGTAGTTTACAGAGACCAGGGACAGAGATTATCCACTGATGCTCATGACCCAGTTGGTCCCTCCCTCCAGCCCCCATGACCCACATCCTCATCCCCAGAACCCAGGAACGTGTCACTTTACATGGCAAAGGGGAGCTGGTGGGTGTGACTGCCTCAAGGATCTTCACAGGGGTGATGACCCTGGATTAGCTGGTTGGGTGGTCATCTCAGGTCCTTGTAAGAGGGACATAGGTGGGCCAGCGAGGGTGGAAGCAGGGAGCAGTGACAAGAGGATGGGCCAGGGGCTGAAGGACACGGGCAGCTCTGGAGCCAGGACAGGAAGCCCCAGCAGGACAGCCCATAGTTCATTCAGCACCCCACACCCCCAGAACTGTCAGAGCATCAGTCTGTATGCTCACTCAGCTTGTGGCCATTGGTCCTAGAAGCCCAAGGACACTAATTCAGAGGGGAAGGGTCTTTTCTGTTTGTTCTGTGAGATGCTCTTCTACTCAGTGGGGGAGTCGGTTGCCACATGACAGGTTGAAGCCCCCATGTGGTGGGCACGGCAGTGGGCACTGAACTGAGAGTCAGGGTGGTGACAGGAGGCAGTGGACAAGAGTGGCACCAAAGTGATGGTTCCTGGGGGCAGGATGTTTCTCCGTCTGGTAACAGTCTGGTTGACGTGAGTCTTACACAGGGTCCTACATGTCTGGACCGCCTTCTTCAGAGGTTGGAGGTCCTGCCCCACTTGTAGGGGTTTCTCAACGAGGCCACTTGGATTTGACTTGGACAGAACTTCCAAGAAGTAGCCACCAGGGGTCTCCCTTCTCAGTCCAAAGCAGCTTTGGTGCCTGTCAACACCCCTGAGGCATCTTGTGGAGGGGTGGGAGGGAGAATGAGGAAACTCTTCCTGCCACCCACCCACCCATCCTCACCCCACTGCCGCCACAGTTAGATTCTGAGTTTGGGGAGGCATCTCGATTCTGACTCAAGACCGAGGATGCTGGCAGAGTGAGATCAAAACTTTCATGCTTCAGAGAGGAGCTGTGATCGGAACACCCTGCCTTGAGTCAATTTTTAATAACGTTTCCAAAACAATATATGCACCTCCTCCAAGGCAGCAGGACCTCATGTGTGTTAGTACCTGGGCTGGGACCATGATGTGTCCAAGTTGGGGGTGGGGAGAGAAGAGAGGCACCAGCAAGAAGGGTTTAGGTACTTTTAGGGGAGATTACAGTTTAACTTCAAATTTACTAGACTTTTGTCAGTGAATTTAACACTCAGAGCCCCAGCTACTCCCAGGTCCCAAGGTTTATGAAAGTCATTCCTCTATTTGAATCCTGTACACTGCAGGACCGTGTGTGCAGCAAACCCACCCGAGGTGTGCCCGGGACATGGCCCTGGGACAGCTTTGTTCTCTCCTGTTTTTCCTCAAAACTTCTGAAGGAAGACCATGTGAAAATGCTGTTTATAAACCTGGGATTTCAAGGTTTATAACCCCAAGGGTCTCAAGTGGACTGAGAGTGAGTCTGCTAAGTGTCCGCAAGAGGCCAACCTTCTTCCAGGGCAGGAACTAGAAATCAGGGGATGGCCCTCACACCAGCCCTGGTTGGCCATAGGATTCTGGCATTTTCTTTGGCCACCTCTCATATGGTGGAATAGTATGCCCGCTGGTTAAGTGGACTGTGACGCTGTCATGGGCCTGTCCACATCACCAGGCGGCCGCAGTGGCCTTGGGGGACCAGGGTGAGCATGTGTCCACCACAGATCACTGGCACAACTGTCCACTGAGCCCTGGACCCTAAGGCCACACCACACTCACCCCCAGTCCCTAAAGAGAGCTGCTGGAGGAGGTCACTTATGGGCTTGGACCCTGTGGCCGCATAAGCACCCTGACTGGCTGAAAACAGTCCTCAAATAGTTAGCCGCTTATTCACGCTCAGATTTTAAGCAGACAGGTAAACCCAGCACTGCAGGCCCTGCAGGTGGCAGCTGGGATGCACTGCAGCTTCTGCCCTGCCCCCCCCTCCCCCCACCTCAGGCTAGCAACCACACCCCAGCCCTCCGGCCGCCTCAGAGACGAGGCATCGCGAAAATCACCTTCGACTTGTACAAGCTGAGCCCGAAGGATGTCATTGGCTGCCTAAATGTGAAGGCCACCATGTACGAGATGTATTCCGTGTCCTACGACATCCACTGCACAGGGTTCAAGGCCATGCTCAGGTAACGCACCCGGGAAAGCAGGGTCCGGACACAGCTACTGCCCTTCCTCAGCCCCTTTAGCCCTGGCCTGACTCACACTCGTGTTGTCGTAAAAACTTGTCACACCACAGACTTATTCAGAAAACTGAGACTTGAGCCAAAATACATAGTTTTCTCCAAAGACCGTTAAGTCCAAAATGGAACAAAAACCCTATATAAGAAATAGAAGAACCAAATTCCTTTTAAAAACCAGGGTCATGCATTTAAAACCTTATTTCTCAGAAATGAGGGCTAAATCCAGACCCAAGGAAATTCTGACCTGGTTGTGCTGTGTGTGCTAAGTCGTTTCAGTCATGTCTGAACCTTTGTGACCCCATGGACTGTAGCCCACCAGGTTCCTCTGTCCATGGGATTCTCCAAGCAAGCATACTGGAGTGGGTTACCATGCCCTTCTCCAGGAGACCTTCCCAATCCAGGGATCAAACCCAGTTCTCACGCATTGCAGGCCGATTCTTTACCGCCTGAGCCACCAGGGAAGCCCAAGAAAGGTGGATTGGGTACCCTGTTCCTTCTCCAGGGGATCTTCCTGACCCAGAGATTGAACCCAAGTCTCCTGTGGCTCCTGCACTGCAGGCAGATTATTTACTGCCCAGTATCAGGGATGCTCCTGATTGTGCAGAGTAGCCCCCAAACCTCGATGAGGACTCGCACACATGGTTCTGTTACCACTGACTGCCTCTCTTGCAGGAGCCTGCTACGGTTCCTGTCTCACGCTGCCCAGGTGACTGGCCAGTGTCTTGTCCACATGGGCACCTACATGCTCCAAGTGCTGGCTGAAACCGAGGAGCAGGTGGTGCCTGGTTCGCGCCCTCGGAGAGGGATCAAGAGTGGATAGGGGGCACACCCAGCCAGCCTTGACCCAGCCGGTCCCTCTCGGGGATGAATTTGGAAAATGCTGTGTTCCCACAACGTATCACCTGCTCAGGAAAGAAAAGGGGCCTGAGCTACTATCAGGGACTGGGCGGGGGTCCCTGGGGTGGTGGTCCCTGCGGTGGGGGCTAGGACGGCAGGATCCAGGGGCTGCACAGTGCCTTCCGCTCCACAATAAACCCACCAGGAAAGCTGCTATGATACACGTACTTCTTCCTCCTGTCTCCTTCATCTCAGGAAGTTTCACAGACGCTGAATCAACCAGAAACTCTCCGCTAACAAAGGCAATCGCTCCTAAGTCTCTATCAGGAGCCGATGCCGCCGGAACAGGAGGGTCAGACATTATTGGGGGTTTAACCCAGCTCCTAATGCGCCCAGAGACCGGAAAGCCTGCGAGCCTCAGTCTTCGGAGGAGAATAGGCTGCTCTGCCAGCCTTTCCAGAACACGAAGCTGCTGGAAATCGGTCCTGATCAGGGTGGGCGTGGCCGAGTCAGGCGGGGCCCCAGGACTCATCACGTGGCTTGGGAGGGGGTAGTGCGGCTCCCGGGAGAAATGGGGTGGGGGTTGGGGACTGCTGGACCAGTGAACCCGCACGTGCCAGGTGCCTTCATTCTGCGCTTTTCCTCCTGAGAACCGCTGGCGCGGAGGCCTGGCCCCCTCCAGTCTGAAGGCTCAGGACAGTGGGAGACCCACGGCTCGTCCCGGAAGCTCAAACCCGCTCTCAGTCAGACCCCTGGGCGCTTGCTCGTGCCCCGCCCCCATCCTCCCATCGCATCCCGGAGCCCCTCAGTCCCCTGCTCCCCGCCCACCGGACCTTACTCCCACCCTTTCTCCACTTCACACGCGGAGCAGCCGGGCCGGCAGCCAGGACTTCAGGCCGGGGTGGGGCGGGATTCGAGGGGTGGGGGGGGTCGATGGGAGGAGGAGCAGAGGTAAAGCAATTGCCGCCGTATTCCTGGAAGCACAGCCTCTTTTTTCAAACTCAGCAAAAAAAAAAAAAAAAAAAATCGCAGGCATCTCAGGGTCCCGTTCTCGCTGATAGGGGAGACACCACCCCGCCCGCGGGCTCGCTGCGCGCTTCCCTTACAAGGAGCGCGGCTGGAAGCCCTTCCCCACGGTCCGGGCGGACGGAAGGGGCGTCCCCAGGGCTCCCGGGGCTAGACGGCGCCCGGCTCCCAGCACCTCCGCCAGGGGCCGCTGTTGCCTCCGCGGGTGAGACGGCGTCACTTCCCGGGGATTCGGCCACCAGGAAAGGGACGGCCTCACTTCCAAAAAAGGAATTTTCAGTCAGCGCCCGGTGCCTTGACTCAGCCGCCGCCTGACTCAGCGCCCTTTCCTCTTCACATCCAGGGCTCCCGGGCTGTTCTAGGGGACTGGCGGCTGGCCAGAGCGCCTGACCCGCACACGCAGTGTGTGTGGGGGTGGGGTGGGGGCGTGCTCTCCCCCCAGCCCACACCACCCCAGCGCCCAGACCGGCCTCAGGGCTGCAGAGGTGGAGGGGGCCGGACACCACGTCGCCCTGAGCGGTCCTCACGACACACTTGCAGCATCCTCAGGACAGTCGCGGGCAGGGCCGCGTCCCAGCTGTCCGGCTGTCACCACCTGCCTTGGGATTCCTCGGGCTGCTGCTGCCCGCCAGGCCTGGCCCAGGATGCAGATGGCCGCATAAAAATAGTCTGGGGCCTCGAGGTACCACTTCGCCGGCTGTTCTGTTGAGCGGAAGCCAGATGAGAGGGTGGGGAGGGCCCCGCCTGGGGCGGCTGCATCAGAAGTGGGCAGTGGGGATGGGGGTGGGGTGCTCACCCGGTAGGAAAGCCTTGCGACCCCCTAGCCCTCCGGGGAAGGAGCATCTCACCGGACGGTTCTCCTGGTTATCACTTTCCAATCAACCCCACTGCACCTGAAACGGGTCATGTCAGCAGAGCTGCGGGGTGCTGGCCCACAACCAGGGTCCGGAAGCCAGGGTCCAGGCAGCGGTTACCAGTCAGTGAAGCCAGGGGAAGACGTTCGACCGGCAGCAGTTGTACCTGAAGCAGCACACCTGGGAACTAGGAGAGGGTAGGCTTCACGTTCAGTATTCTAATCCCAGTCAAATGAACTTAAAAAATAAAAGAAGCTGGAGTCAAACGTGTGGCTCAGGACTGGTTACTTCCTCACCTGTACAAGTGTGGGCGCACCTGCCTGGACAGGATGATGGGTGAACTTGTCAGCCCCTCCCAGACTGGACAATGGGCACAGACTTCTGTCTCTCCCTGGAGTGGACAAGTGGGCCAGGGAGCAGGTGTCTGGGGTCGGGTGGGGGGCACACACATTTAGCAGGGAAGGGACACATCGTGGGGTGAGCTGCTGAGGTGGGTGGGGAGGGATGCTTTCTGAATCTGGGGCCAGTGGGCCTGTGGGCGCGGCTGCCACTGCATTCCTGAGGACAGCTGGGACAGCTGAGGGGGGAGGAGGGAGCTGGCTGGACTGAGTCTGGCTTTCCAAATAGAAGGGTTTTCCTGTTGGGGAAGAGGTAATAAGAATTCACATGGCTTTGCATTGGTACACACCTTCTCTTAGGCACCCTCCTGGCAAGCCAGTCAGCAGAGAAAGCTGCCCACCCCTGAGCAGCAGAGGAGGAAAGGCAGGCCGGACCCCTCCCCACATGCCCTCTGCGCCCACCACCCCTGCAGAGAGCAGTCAGGATTAGCCACAAACCAGCCTGAGTGGTGGAAAAGGAATTCCAGCAAATATCTGGTGCATCAGAATCAGTTGTGACGTGGTTATGACTCTTTTCAAAGCACCTCCTGAATTTATATTTAACTCGGAGAAAATCGGTGGTGGAAACCTCTTTGCTTAGGGAGATTTTATTCAATTCTTCTTCATTTCCCATCGTAATATTCTGAGTCCCCTCTATCAGAAAAGGAAAGTCCCTTGAGGCTGTGATATCTGTGTCTGTGTATTTTCTTCCTTCACTTACTACTGCTCAGTTAAGTCATGTGCTGAGTCTGACTACAGGCAGGAAGTCTAGTCTCCAACCTGAGGAGTTTACAACCCAAGCCAGGAGGTGAGCCTTGGCAGCTTGGTGAGCACTTTGTGGGCACGTGGCACTCAGGGTTGCTGAGACATGGAGGAGGGGCAGATGAGAGCTGGCTCTGACACTCCTGCTGGAGGAGGGGGAGGGGAGTGAATCACATCCAACTGGAATCTGGGACCAGAACAAGGGCCCATCAGAACAGCCCACCTGCAGTGGGGACGATTCAGATTAACTTAATCCAATCCTCAGGCTTAAGCAGCACAAAACCAACGATCTCATTTGTGCTTTTAGTTGTGAAAGTGTAACATAGCTTTAAATATCTTTCCTGACAGCTTCTCACCACACAGCAGCCCAGTGGGTGATAAGAGGGCCTGGAAGAGAAGACAATCAGGTCTAAAGGATCCAGAGATGTGCAGGGGAGGAGCAGGCAGGCTGCAAGCTCAGGGTGGGGGTGAGGAGGTGGCCTGAAGGTCTCTTATAGGCAGGAGGATCGGGTCCCCAAGGTGGACAGAGTTTGTTGTCAGGGGTCCAAGGCCTGAGCAGAAGATACAGCACAGAGAGGTGGTGGCCGAGGATGGCAGGAAACAAGACGTGGTGGCTTCACAGGGAGGGGCTCGGCCAGACTCAAGAAGCCCAACAGACTCAGGATGGGACCCACAACAGCATCCAAACAGAGAAACTGTTTCATGACTGGCCCAAAGGTCAGGGCAGAATAGGGACACACAAAATTAAGTTTTTCCACCAATGAGACCACAAAGCAAGGACAACTAATTAGTGGACGCGGTTTCTGGCCTATAACATTTACCACCAAAAAATGTACCCTGGTTTGAGTACAAATGCTCATGGGATTCATTACTCACAAAGCACTGGAAACTACTAGTTGACCTCCGAGTGTTCAGAGGTCCAGGGCCTTTGCCCCAAGACTGCTTGCATCAGCAGCTCCTCTGCGCTCCAGGCTAGAAGTCAAGGCCAGAGGTGCCCAGCACAGATGGCACCCACATCCTACCACGACTGGCTGGTTATGCCATGCAGCCAGACCTGCCCATGCTGTCCTTGGGGGCTCTGCTCTTCCTGTGCAGACAGGTCCCATTTGATCCTCTGTTGGCCGTGTCTCCACAGGCCTATGCTCTCACATGCTCATGGACAGCTTTTTCCCATCATTGCTTCCTTAATATTAACATGAAAATATCTCCATGCTTTAACAGTAAGCATGATGGTGCTTGCTATTTGCTCCCAACCCATGGCAATATTGTCATTGTTATTTTTTGTCTACACAGATGTTCCTAAAACCTCATGAGGGTTATAGGATTATACACCTAATTGTTGTTCAGTTGCTCAGTCATGTCTGACTCTTTACGACCCCATGGACTGCAGCAGGCCAGGCTTCCCTATACACCTAACAGTGTTCACAACACAGTAAAGACTGTCAAAGAAAAGAGGGAGTAAATCCATGAATCATCATTAATTACTCAAATAGTATCCCACCACCAGAGCAGGCAGAACCCAGCACCTGACCTCAGCAGCTTTGCTGCCAGCGAGTGGGTCTGAGAGCCAGGCAGGTCCTAGGGACAGTTTCCATATAAACACACGTATCATCTTCTCTGTGCTTCCCATCCCTTCAGCATGGTGCTGTGTCTGCCCTTCTCTGCCCTCTTTTTCCCTCCCCAAACTAAAAGGTGGAACTTACTGCTCTTTCCGTCACCTAGGTCAATATTTTATTTTGTATTTCTTTTACTGGGTAGATCACTGGTTTATTACAAAAGGATGTAATTCAGGACAGTCAGATGGAAGAGGTGTTCAGGGCAGGGCACAGGGAAGGGGCACCAGTTCACCAATCCAGAAGTTCTCCTGTTTTTAAATAAAAGAGTGTATATTTTAAAAAGAAAAAGTGTGTATATTAACATTTCTTCATCTTAACACACACAACTACCTTCCAAATCACGTGATCACTTAGATCAGTTTCTATTTTGCTTAAATGTAACCTGAATTTTTTAGAGCCCAGCGGTCCCAACCAAGCAAGCAAGCCTGTCTCCTACAACCCTGAACAGAGAGGTACCAGCTCTCCGTCAAGTGCCTGCTCTGTGCCCCACGCCGGGAGAAGGCTTTCCACACCCCCACCATCTGCCCAGCGGCCCTGCAAGGCTGCAGCTTCAGCCGTGTCCCCATGTGGGAGGGCCAAAATGAAGCCCACCTAACAGACCACAGACTCCCTGCAGTACTGACCTTTCTTAGTGGCGAGCTCTGTGCCCCCAAGGAGAGAACACAAAAAAGTCACAGAGGAGGGGATGGGACAGAGAACGAAGTGAAGCCCCCAGGACTGTCCTTGTGCAGGGGACACAGAAGAAAAGGTGGGGGGTGCAGGGCAGAGCTGGCAAGAGAGCCCCCCACTCTGATGCTGTCCTGCGGCTCCCAGGCCACCTCCACCTGGAGGGGCTCTGGCCCCCAGTGCTGGTGAAGGCCTCCCTCTGATGGGGGTAACACTGGGGCTAAGGAGAGAGGGCAGGAAATGTGTCCAAATATTATTAACCAAGTAATGATGTTTGGGGGTTGGATGTTGTTTTTTGTTAGTTTTCAGTCTTTTCCAGCTTTCCTGAAGCTTGTCTATTACTCCCTGTGTTTAAAAATGGTGGTAAAACCATATCACCTGAAATACACCACTGTGGCCAGGTTTAAGTGTTTAGTTCATCCACATTGTTGAGTACAGGTATCCAAGACTTCTCATCTGGCAAAACTCATCCCTTAGTCTTTAATGGGAAAATGATACCAAGACAGTTTTAAAAATACGACCTGCCTACAGCTAGGCCTAAAAGCTGCCGGGCCTCGGCCGGTTTAAAAGCCCCGGTGAAGGCGCATCTCCTCACCTCCCCCCCGCAACCCTCACCCTCCAGAGATGGTCTCCCTGGGCAGCCCCTGGGCCCCCAACCCACCCAGTACCTGTGTCCCCCCTACTCCTGGCTGATGGCCACTGCCTCTGCCCCAGCCCCGCACACCCTGCCCTGTGTGTGTGAGATAGGGGTCAGGGTGCAGGGGAGCTCTGGACGCCTGGACGGAAGGTCCCCCACCCCCTTGGGCCACAGAGGGAGAGATGGGCTTCGAGGTCACACAGCTTGTCAGGGGGTCACTGGGAACCAGATCCCAGAGTCCTGTCATCCTCTTCAGAGCCCTTCCTTCTAGAAGAACTGAAGACTGTTACACTGTGTCAGAGGTCAGAGAAGATGGTCAGAGCGACCATGCTATGTCTCAAAAAATAACAAACGCAGAGGTGTGGCTGGGGAAAGCCATTGGGTTAGTTACAGGTGAGACACTTTTCCTCTTTGCTACAGAACATGGCAACAATTCTATTATCATCCAATCACATCTGTTACAAATTTGATTTACTAGACTCAGCTTTTACACATAAATTTCTTCTTCATTGTGCACTTCCTGGATACATGCTCACTTCTTCCTTAAAAACAGATGACTCATACAATCAGATTGCATTTTAGGTGAACTGGGTTTTGTCTGATGTAAGCTAGGACGGGAGTCGATCAGTCATAGGATGTGAGAGCTGGGAGGGATCTGCCCCAAGAACCATCTCTCTGTCAAGCGTCATGTTACATAAGGGTATAATGGTCCCATGTCATAAAACTTGTCAAAACCTGGGCTTTTAGCTGAAAATCAGGTCACAGGTGGCCATCAGCAGCCTGGCCTCTTCAAGGTCTTTCCCCAGCATGTGGACTCCTCAGCATGTGGAAAGGATGGACCCCACCTGCCCTGATACTGTGCATTGGACCCGGGCAGGGAGCAGTGAGACCTGTCCCAGGGCTGGGACACTGGCCCTGGGTCCTCACCCCACGTGGTGACTGTGGAGGAGACAGGACAGGGTGAGAGGCTGAGGGAGGCGGAAGGCAAGCAGACAGGAGGCAAGGACCCAGAACTCTGTCTAGATCCGGCCCTGGGCATCACCCCTCCCACTCGGGGCTCTCGGGGATCACACGACTGCTGGCACATGGGGACCTCAGGACTCACTCCCTGCCCCAAATTCCTGAACCTGCTTCAGGGCCCTTCCTCCTCCCACTGGTGACTGTGACATGGAATATGGCCTGGGGACAGCCGTAGGGGGGCCGCCTCCATCTCCGCCACTGGTGTGCAGACACAGTGAAGCCAGCACCGCAGACAGGAAGGTGCTTGCTCTTGTTTGTGTTTTTGTTTTTGTTTTTGGTGCTTGCTCTTAATAACAGGCTCTATGGCTCCTGCATCCTTACTGGCAGCTGCTGGGTCTGTGGCCTGCGTGTGCCCTTGCTCTGGCCCATCCACGTTAGGGGCGGCCTCAACTGCAGTGGGAGCCTCTCAGTCCCACTTTGCCTGTTGTGCAGATTCCAGAAGCGCAGTTCCCAAGCTTCCAACACTGAACCCTGGTCACTGCCCGACCCCCCTTGTGGTGCAGGTGGTAGGCTGACATGCGGGTCAGCAGGGAGTGTCCATCAGAAACTCCAGGAAATCAGCCTCCTCCCATTAAATCCACGTGACAGCAGTGTCCTCAAAGCCAGGCTGACACCTACTCTCTGGCTTTGGTGAGAACCTCGGACTGAAATTCCACCCAAAGGACAAGCTTTGACAAGGTGGTCATTTCGGCAAAGCACTAAAGCTGCTGACATGGACACTTTCCTTTAAACCAAGAAGGGGCTTGATTCACAGGGACTGAGTGACCAGAGCTGAGGAAAGATTCTTCTAGGCGTGACCGGCCCTTGCTGCCTGCACCAGACTCTGCACCAGCTTTGGTAAAAGGAGCGTTTCCCCAGAGTCAGTCATGAAACTGAGCAACCGCAACACACAAGCCTAGTAAGGGCGGGCACTGGGTCATCCTGGGCTCTGACAGGAGCCTGGGGGGCTGTGCCCCCCACACCTAAGCTTCCCCAGGTGCCCTGTGTAGAGACGCACGGGGACCTACAGAAAGGCAGAGAAGCAGAACTGCGGGGGCCGGTTGGAGGTCAAGGATGGCAGGGCAGGGATCCTGAGGTTAAAGAAACTGATGCCTGAAACTGGGAATGTTTGAAAAACTCCAGAAGAAAAACTTTCCAGTTGTCCCCCTTTTTTGAACCACACACATTAGGACTTTCCCCAAGTTTTCATGTACCTAGAAGGAAACCGCTGGTTCTAATGACAGAGGGCCACTTCCTCGCCATATGGCATTTCCACTTGGCCTTGGGGAGGGGGTGAATGGAGCCACCAGTCTCCAGTCTTCTCACCTGAAGTGTTCACAGGGAAACTGGGCACACTCAAGACGGAATGTCACAGGGCTCAGACCCCCCCAGGACAAGCTTTCCTTTACAGATGCGGCCAGAGGACCTGAGGTAACACAGCTAACTGGAAACAGAGCCAGGGTTGAGATCCAAGTCACCCTGACTCACAGAAAAGTGGTCATTCCTTTTCACCACACAAGGCCATCTGGACTGGGGCCGCTGCTCCAGAGAGCCTAACTCACCCCTACAAGTGACCCTGACTCATGCCTGCCTGGCACACCAGAGACATTTGTGGCTCAGAATACCTGTTAGCCGCCTGGGCAACTGGGCTCCTACAGGAGTGGCCTGGAGGGTCCTGGGTGTCAGTCAGAGAGCAAGCCCTAGAAGCCTGCAGTAGGGGTCCAGGCTGCTGGGGTGAAAGTCCCTGGGGGCGAGGACCATTAAGCAGGGAGGGTGGGGGCCCAGGACCCTGATGCCAGCAGCTGAGGAATGAAGCCTCTCTCCGCTGAAGGGGCTGTGGACAAACATGGCGAAGGGGAGGGGTCCCGCTGCGCCTTGCCGCCTTGTCAGCGAGGGAACAGGGAACCACGCTTTGCACAGCAGGACAGTCCCCTAGGCCAGGGAGGGCTGAGATCATTCCGCAGGGAATCCCCGACGCTCCGTGGCCCCGGGGAGAGAGGGGTCACCGGATCTCTCTAAGACTGACACTTCCTCTAGCTTCGCGCCTGTGCCCAAGCGGGATACCCGCGTTCACATCCCCCACCTCTGCTGGCGAAGGAAAGCCGTGACTTAGGGGCGGGGAAGGTGAGGGAACCGTGGGGGAGGGGGGAAGCTTTCCTTCCAGACTCGGGAGGGAGAGGCTGCTAGGCTGTGCAGGGCGTGTGTGTAAGTGTGTGTGTGTGGGGGGGGGCGGCGGGGGGGAGGCTGCTAGGCTGTGCAGGGCGTGTGTGTAAGTGTGTGTGTGTGTGTGTGTGTGTGCGTGCGTTTTCAGGTTTAGCCGTGTGTTCACTGTAACCTGACTCCACAACGAACGGTTCGGACTTGTCAGAACTGAAGGCCTGTATTTCAAAACCGAGAAGCAGTAGGCCGGGGACGTAAGGACTCGTGCCCACGGCTGAGTCGGAGGGCAGGGGTCAGAGTCACCCCGAAAAGATCCACTCCCGAGTCCCCCGGCCTTTCCACCGGCTGGGTTTGAACCCGCGGCGCGCGTGGACCTTGCGGTCCCGGGACCGACGCCGGCGGCTCCGGGCAGGCGCGCCTCCCTAGTCAGCTCCACGAGACCGAAGCGCGGGGAGTCTCCGTTCTCCCTCCGGGCAGCGTAGCGAACCGGGGGGCCCTGGGGGGAGATTGTCCGCTTCCCCGCCCGCCCGCTCGGATGGGCGCCCCAGGAACCCGCTCTGTCCCAGCCCGGCCTCCGGGCGGGCGTCCCTCCACTGTTCGCTGGTCGGTTCTCCCTCTGGGACCGCGCAGGGTGGAGGAGGCCCGGGGAGGACCGCCCGAGGGCGCGCAGGGGCGGGGTGCCCGGGGCAGGGGGAGGCCTGGTGGGGGCGGCGAGCAGAGGCGGGGACGAGCGGATAGAGGCGCACCCATGGATGGGGCCCGGAGTGGAGGCGGGACGGAGGGGCGAGGGGGTACGGGGGCGGGAGAGGAGGACCTGGTCTGGCTCGGGAGTTAGGGAAGAGCAAGCAGACCGGGTGCCGGGGGGACGCCGGGTGTGGGCAGGGCGCCCGGACGGCTGGGCAGAGGGGGCGCGGCCTGGGGGGGGGGGCCTGGCCATTGGCCCGGGCGGCAGGGGGAGGGCCTGGGAGGGGCGGCCGGAGCCGGGTGGGGGACCCGAGCGCCCTTGCAGCAGTCGCCGCGCCGTCAGAGCAGCGAGGGCTGAGCGGCCATGAGGGAGATCGTGCATATCCAGGCTGGCCAGTGCGGGAACCAGATCGGCACCAAGGTGGGTGGGCGCCCCCCCCACGCCAAGCTCTCGGGCCGGGGCCGCGCGGGGCCCGGGCGGCCGAGGGGGCGTCACGGGGACCCTGCCCCGCTCCCCGTCCCCGCGGCCCCGGAGCGGCTCAAGCGCGCCTGGAATCTGGCGGCCGCTCCCCGCGCCCCGCCCGCCGGGCCGGCCCTGGGGGACCCGGGCTGACCGTCTGTCCCCCTCCCCGCCCTTTGCTAGTTTTGGGAAGTGATCAGCGACGAACATGGCATCGACCCGGCCGGAGGCTATGTGGGTGACTCTGCGCTCCAACTGGAGAGAATCAACGTGTACTACAACGAGTCCTCGTGTGAGTGGCGCGATCCGCCATCCCCCCAGACCCCGCCTTTCCCCCCGGACCCCGCCATCTCCCCCAGGACCCCGGCCATCCCCCCGGACCCAGCCATCCCCCCCACCGGACCCCGCCATCCCCCTTGAACCCCGCCATCACCCCGTCCATCCTTCTCTGGGACCACGGCACCGCCCTGTGGGACCCCTGCCATCCCCTGCCCCCACCCGCGGGCCCCCCGGCGCGTGGGTGGTTCGCGCTGGAAAAATCCTCCCGGATGTAGCCCGGCGCCCGGCTCCTCCCTCGCTCCCTCTGGGGCGGGAAATCCGCCGTCGGTTGATTTCAAACAGGCTCTTGACCTCTCCTGGTCTGAGCTCTTGAATCTGATCTGTTAGTGCTGTGAAATCAGCTTAGTGGGGCATGTCCGGCTCTTTTTTTTTTTTTCCGGTTTAAAATTTATTTCCTAATGAAGGTTTTTGGCTAAAAATTTGAAAAACACTACCTCAAAAGATTGTCCCTTTGCAGACCTCCAGAAAGACTTTACTAAGCCCACTGGAAGATGGACCTCCATGCAGGCAGGGTCTTTATCTGGAGGAGTTTAGTTTAGTACCAGCCCTGTCCTGGGGAGCTTCATAGGTATCCTGGTTACTCCTGTACTTTATTTTTGTAACAATGTTTATTGTAAAAGTGATACATAACATTCACAGAACAAACACAAAAGGAAGATGTTGAAAGAACACTCAGGAAGTGACAGGTGCTGCCCCTCAATATATGCACCTGTGTCCCCAGCTTCAGAGTTAATCATGCTGTCCTTAGAGTCACTGCTGGTCATCCACAGGAGAGCTGGGAAGAGCAGGACACATAAACCACGGGGTTTTATTCATTAAGCAGCTATGATAAAAGGTATGGAAGAGCAGGGCGTAAGCAGTGAGATTCCTGGATGGCACTGAGAAAAGGCCAGTATGTATGGCACTTGCTGGTCACCCTCAGACCAGCCTACTGACATTCTCTCTTCAGCCTGAGTGTGTGAGTAGCAGAACAGGACTTGCAGGACAGTTCCCAGTGCAGTCCTTGTGACCCCACCCTCACAGGAACCTCTCTTGCCAGTTGGCATGAGCACATGCTCACTTGTCCATAAATGAGACAGTCCCCCAGGAAACAGCTGTGGGCACACCTGAACCAGGTGCACAGACCTACTTGTGGGTTCACATGCGTGTGAGGGAGAGAAGTGCAAAAGTGTCCTGGCAGCATGGCCGCTTGCTGCAACATGTATGGGTTATTTCTGTGGAACTAAAGAGTTGAACTGTGCACGAAGGAGGGCTGGGAAATTCAGGCGACAGGAAGTCCCGAGACCTCACTTCTCATCCTGCCTTTTCCGGGAACTTCCTGTGCCCTGTGCCTGGGCTGGCTTCCTCACCCGGACATGTCCAGGGTGGATTGTGTTTTCTGAGGCTCCCCTCCCCCAGGGCTGAGACTCTGTGACCCTCAGAAAGCCTGCTTTGTACATCACAGGCGGCTGTGCTGGTTGGACTTGCTCTGGGCAAGTGTGTTGTCCCAGGAACCAGAGACTGACTCGCATGGGTGGGCTCTGTTCTCTTTCAGCTCAGAAGTACGTGCCCAGGGCCGCCCTGGTGGACTTGGAGCCGGGCACCATGGACAGCGTGAGGTCTGGGCCTTTTGGGCAGCTCTTCCGGCCTGACAACTTCATCTTCGGTAGGTTCCGTCTTTCCTGCTTTCTTCTTCCTCTTTTATTTTCTAAACTTCCAGCTAATTTGTGTGCAAGATTAAAAACATCATATGGCATAGAAAAGCTTAGAATGGAAGTCAACAGTCGCCAACCCCATCAAGGCAGCCTCTTTTTTTTTAATTTTTTTTTAAACATTTATTTTTATTTATTTGGCTACATAGAGTCTTAGTTATGGCATGTGGGATCTAGTTCCCTAACCAGGGATCGAACCCAGCCCCCCTGTATCAGGAGCGCAGAGTCTCAGCCACTGGACCACCAGGGAATTCCCAAGGCAGCCTCTTGAAGGAAAGTAAACTTTGATTCTCTAAATGAAATGCTTACTAGTAATAATTCTTGATTTTGAAACATTTTAGACATTAACTTCTTTTTCCCTCTCATAAATTACTAGCATAAAAAGACGATGATAATTTGTCTGTGGTTCCTATGTTGCTCGTCAGTGTGTTTATACCTGTGTTTCTTGTTCCATTGTCTATAGGCTGTTCTCCTTTCTTTCCAGAAGTAGGTACCATATGAACTGTTTTATCAGGTTTGGGCAAATCTTCCTTTCCTCTTTCTTCACCCAGAACATGATGAAAGCACCTGTTCCTCTGCAAACTCCTAAAGAAAATTATGTAAAGTGAAATGAAGTGGCACTGTTAATGTGACCAGCCTCCATCACCTTCAAGTCATAGTTTTGGGGAGTCAAGGCAGAGTCTTGGGAGATCTTATCGGTACATAAATTGATTCCCTTGGATTGGACTCAGGCCATGTGACCTGTTATAAAGGTGATTCAGCAAGGTACATGCTCATGAATAAAAGACCTCTCGGTATCATCTGCTTCCCCATCACCATGGCAACCTGCACAAACAGTGGGACAGATGAAGTTTCTAGTAATTTATTCAAGGGTTTTTGTCACCTTTGATATTTCAAATAGACCAGGACAAAAGGCTCTGGTGCCCCTTTTATTACGGCAAAAAAAAATCTAAATTATCAATACTTTTATAGTCCACAAGTGGGGACATTTACATTCTTTATCTTTTCCTAAACTAGACTTTTGGTAATTGTTCTCAAGCAAAGGTGCTTCTAGATCCTGCCACCAACATGGTCACCATTAGCTACATGTGGCTAAAAATAAATTTAATTAAATAAAATCAGTCTACTTTCTCAGTTGTACTCCACACATTTCCAGTGCTCAGTAGCCAAGTGTGGTTGGTGGCCACCACACTGGACAGGGCACAGCTAGAATACGTCTAGCTATGCCCTGTCCAATGTCACTGCAGAAAGTTGTTATCAGACAGCAGTGCTCACAGCCTTAAAAGAGATATTCTACCAGATTAGGGGAATGAAGACTGTACCAATACAAACTAGCTTTAAGAGTGATTTTTAACAGTTGACACTATTTTTAACTAAGAAAATAACATGTTTGCCATGGAGAATTGAGAGGATCCCGCATGTCTGAACCTACTGTGTGTGCTGTTGGCTCAACTATTGTTTTTAAGTCATTATCCACTTAATAAAAGAGTCTGAGTTGCCTGCGGATTCACAGTAGGTGAAAACTGTAGTTTCACCCCATTGCCTTCAGGGTGGGTGAATTTTTTTTTAAAGTGTCATTCTGTATTCAGATATAGTTTGAAGTGATACAAAAAAAAACACTGACTTGAAGTAACTATAATTTTAAAAGTGAAACTTCTCTGCATTTGAGTTTATGCTTTAGAAAGCCACACCTTTTTCTTAACAGACTGCTGGTTGCATGGCAGCTATGCCTGTTAGTGGAGAGAGTTTTGTGGGACAGAGCAAAGGAAGGCGGATCTCAGGCTTCTCTGTACATGTAACTTTCTCTCCCAGATTCAGGGCTGGAAGGGAGTCAAAGAGCCTGGAGCCCTGAGACTTAACCCACACCCTGTGTGAGCTGGAGGTGAACCAGGGGCTGGCTCTGAGGCCTCAGGGATCGCTGCAGCACTGCTTCTACAATCTGGAGCCGCTGGTTAATGTCCCAAACTCTGATTGCAGAAGGCGTTCAACTCCTGACCCCCAAATATTTAACTGGGAACGTCTGTTGCTATGAGACAGTGGCAAAATATTTTCAGAAGCCTCCAGCTTCCTCCTCTTGGTTGAAGGCAGAGAAAACTTCACATCTGATCACTGTAAACACCCAGGAGACCAAGGGACTGTGTGAGCTGGAGGCAGCAGAGGGTCCAGGCCAAGGGGCTCCACTGACCATGGCTACATGTCGCCCTGAGTCCCCACTGTCCCCCGGTCATTGGTTTCCACGTGGTTTCAGTCCTTGTCCTTGGGGCAGCTATGAAGGGACATCAGTTCTAACCCAGCTCCAGGCGGGAAGCTGGTCCAGCCATGTGCTGGCTTGCAGGGGGAGGTGGCAGAGTCTTGGGGGCCTAGGAAGGACATGACAGTACTCCAGCCTCATACAAGAAGGCACCCAGCCAGGTTTCACTGTGGAGGGGCAATGTTTGTGAGCAAGAATGCAGCCACCTCCTGGGGAGGCACGTCTGAGGGGCTGTGCACCTTGTAGGAGGCTGGGCCGCCCTCCGGAGTCTGTCCCTCTCAGCCCGGGATCACTGGCCTTGGTGATGTCACTCTGCTCACAGTATATAGGTGGTTCCCTCTTCTCTTCACTCTTACCAACTGTCATCTGGTGAGTCTCGTCCACGCATCATTCTGCGCCTTCTGTGCCTATGGGACCAACTGTGATCCATGTTGCCGACTTGCCCTCTGTGGAGGCCCATCCCCCCAGCACCCCCAGCGGCTCTACTGTAGGGGGGGCCTTGCCCCAGACTCCCGTCTTCACTGTGTTTCCAAGCTCTTGAGCTCCATCAGCTTCATGGGAGGCGTTGAATCTCCGTAGGTTAGTGTGCATCTGCTCACTATAGTGGGGAAGTATAGTGAGGAATACGCTGCGTGTTTGTCACTTGCGTCCACCCCCCATCCTTTGCCCAAGTCTTCCTAGAGGCTGTCATCGTCCTTATGGATTTTTAGATGTTTAATCACTAATAATCAGTACCTCTTAAACTTACTGAAGAATCACAGCATTTTGGTGGTTCTTGTTTTGCAGAATTGCACTTTGCACCACTGAACTTAGCACTGACAAATGCTGTGGTACATCCAAAGACGTTTGAGCTAAGACTCCTTCCTGGTGTGAGGCCGGCCCCTGGGGGTAACTGTAGGTTCCAGGGGTGTACTGAGTGGGCCCTGCCCCCGAGTGCCCAGTGCCTGCCTTCTGCTGTGGTGCTAGGAGAGTCTCCATGGCCCGTCCCGCTGTGTCACCACCCCCAGCTCTGTTTTCCCCATCAGTGCATGGGAGTGGGGGTGGGATGGTGGTGAATTGTTGCCACCAGCAGGTGTAGACAGAAATCAGGGTAGTGTCTTTGGTGTAAGGGGGAGAGGTGCGCACAGCGCAATGCCAGCAATGCCTTGGCCCCTCGGGTCCTCTTATTTCTGAGCCCACCTGACGTAGCCAAACGCCCTGCCCCCTCATCCTTCAGCCAAGGGACCACCGCAGTCTCTTTTGTTCCATATGTGGGGAAACTTTGATAAAGAGGCTGATGGATCTCTTTTTTCATTTTTTATAATACATGATTCTTCTTTTCAAAACCAAATTTGAAATACCCACATACTAAAGAAATATACTGCCTTAAAGAGCCTTCCTGGCTTCCTCTACAGCTGGGTTTTTCAGCTGCACTCCACACTGCCTTCTTACCAATGAACAGGAAACAGCAGTGCCTTATCTTTTCAACTTGTCATTAAATAGGTCTGTGCATCATTTACTTTTTTTTATCATTTACTTTTTTATTGCTTTTTGTAGTGTACCTTACAATGTGCTCTAGAATTCAGTTCTTAATGGTTTCTCTAATGTCCCTTAAAATGCATATTAACATATTGATTTGAGTTGAAGACTAAACCATGTTTTTCTGACAGAAAGTAGGTGTTATCTGGGCTTCCCAGGTGGTGCAAGTGGTAAATAATCCCCCTGCAAATGCAGGAGATGCAAGAGACGTGGGTTCAATCCCTGGGTCGGGAAGATTCCCTAGAGGTGGAAATGGCAACCCACTCCAGTATTCTTGCCTGGAAAATTCCATGGGCAGAGGAGTATGGCAGGCTACAGCCCACGGGGCTGCGGAGAGTTGGACGTGACTGAGCGACTGAGCACCCACACAGGTGCAATCTGGATTATCCACCTGGTAACAGGGCTGCCTTGCCAATTAGGCTATATCACCAATAGTTTTCATTATCGGAATGAGCTAAATCTGCAGCCTAAGGCGTTGACAAAAATATATTTGAAATATTTCATTAAAAATCATACTGGTAACATTGTGTTGGAATGAAGATTTCAAACTTTCCAACTTTTCGAAGTATGCCAGACCACATGAAGAGCCTTTCAGTGAACGAACATCAGGTAAATCTTGGTGCAAAGCCTTTTGGAATCTTCCTGCTGCAGAAGGAAAGTTATTGATGCAAGTCAGGTGTTTCAAATTCTGCTTTCCAGAAACTTGACTTTGGGGCTGAAAGGTGGTTAAAAATACTTTCTGATGGTGTAGGTCAGTATTTAGTTTTTGGCATTTAACTCTGAAGATCAAATAATTGAACGAAATTTCTAGATAGTTAATTCTATTTACATGTTTATGTGAACAAGATTTCTCAGTATTTGTTGATATATATGTAAAAACAAAGAATAAGGAATAATATGGATGCCAAACCTTGTCTCAATCTGGCAATATTTGATGTTCACACTTGGATAAATGAACTAATGGAAAAAATATAGTTCCTGATGATGATGAATGAGGGGCCCCATTAACGAGGGAACATATTACTGTTTTGAAAAGGAAGTATTTGTACCTAGTTCAAAATTCAAGAGAGCCCAAAGGATAGGGGAAGGAAGTTTATTTCTTAATTTATACTTTTTGTTCCCTTTGTCTTTTACTTTGAGGGAGAATTATCTTTTTAAGAGTAAGAATGGAATTACCAAGTCAGAACATGAGTACATCTTAAAATTGGCAGATTTCCCTTGTCTGAAGTGGTTGGCCACCCTCCTGTGCTCCAGCAGTGCAGGGGGCCTAGGGCCCACATCCCACTCTATTATCTATTCGCTTCATGACTTGTCTTAACCGTACTGACGGCCCCTCACAGCAATCCCTGTAGCCCTGTCTGAATCACGTCCCCTCTCTTGCTTGACCCCAGGACAGACTGGCGCCGGCAACAACTGGGCCAAGGGCCACTACACGGAGGGCGCTGAGCTGGTGGACTCTGTCCTGGATGTGGTGCGGAAGGAGTGTGAGCATTGCGACTGCCTGCAGGGCTTCCAGCTGACCCACTCCCTGGGCGGTGGCACCGGGTCTGGGATGGGGACCCTCCTCATCAGCAAGATCCGAGAGGAGTACCCTGACCGCATCATGAACACCTTCAGCGTGATGCCCTCACCCAAGGTGTCGGACACGGTGGTGGAGCCCTACAACGCCACCCTGTCTGTGCACCAGCTGGTGGAGAACACAGACGAGACCTACTGCATTGACAATGAAGCGCTGTATGACATCTGCTTCCGCACCCTGAAACTGACCACCCCTACCTACGGGGACCTCAACCACTTGGTGTCGGCCACCATGAGTGGCGTAACCACCTCCCTGCGCTTCCCGGGCCAGCTCAATGCCGACCTGCGCAAGCTGGCCGTGAACATGGTGCCCTTCCCACGCCTGCACTTCTTCATGCCTGGCTTCGCCCCACTCACTGCCCGCGGCAGCCAGCAGTACCGGGCCCTGACCGTCCCCGAGCTCACCCAGCAGATGTTCGATGCCAAGAACATGATGGCAGCCTGTGACCCGCGCCACGGCCGCTACCTGACTGTGGCCGCCGTGTTCCGGGGCCCCATGTCCATGAAGGAAGTGGACGAGCAGATGCTGGCCATCCAGAACAAGAATAGCAGCTACTTTGTGGAGTGGATCCCCAACAACGTGAAGGTGGCCGTGTGTGACATCCCACCCCGGGGCCTGAAGATGTCGGCCACCTTCATCGGCAACAGCACGGCCATCCAGGAGCTGTTCAAGCGCATCTCGGAGCAGTTCTCGGCCATGTTCCGGCGCAAGGCCTTCCTGCACTGGTTCACAGGCGAGGGCATGGATGAGATGGAGTTCACCGAGGCCGAGAGCAACATGAACGACCTGGTGTCCGAGTACCAGCAGTACCAGGACGCCACGGCCGATGAGGGCGAGGAAGCTTTTGAGGATGACGAGGAAGAAGTCAATGAGTAGGGGTGTGTCCTGCCTTGGACTCCAAGGCTCAGAGGTCTTTTCTCCAAGCCTGGTGTGTCTCCTGGCTGCCCAGGGGAGTCCCATCTGAGTGTGGGGACAGGCCTCTCACAGGGGCGGAGGACTGTCCTATCCGTCATCTGGGATGGAGGGCGTCAGAAGAGTGGGAACTGGCATCCCTGCCCAAACATCGGACCAGAAGGGACACAAAAGAACTCATGGGCCGTAAATAAAGGGCTAAATAAATAAACCTCACCGTCTCTTACGTGTTCACCTGTGTCTGGGAATTAGGGGCTAGAAACGATGTGCTTTCATCCCGTGACCACACCCGGGGCTTCGAGGTGCCATCTCTTAATGGATGTGTAGCACTCAATGTAGACAGCCTGTACACGGTAAACCTAAGCGCTCCCCTGTCTTTCAGACTCTGCTTTCCTGACAGGGCCCCCACCTCCCGGGAAGCAGCCCATTCCACTCAGGGCAGGGCTTCCTTTCAGTCAGAGGCCCTCAGGCGGCCCTGAAACTTACTGGTGGCCAGATGACTCCTTGGGAAGCAATACACCCCAAATAAAAGCCTGTGTCCTGGTTTCCAGCCAACACTTACATCCCCACACGATCTTTCATCTGCGTGTGGCCCTGGGCTAGTCCGCCCAGCCTCCCCTAATAGCTCCGCTGGCATTTGGAGGAGCCACAGAAAATGACCCTCAGGCTTCCTGCCAGAGCTGAGTTGGGTGGGGGGCTGGGCGGAGTTGCTGTGGTTCCTCCGGGGGTTGCAGGCCAGCAGGCAGGCCCCATGGGGAGTTGGGAGGTGGCTAGGGCCGGAGGGAGGGGGAATGGGCACTAAATAAGGATCCCTCCCACCCCACGCTAAGCGCCCTCTGCCCTCTGAGGCTCCAGTCTCTCCAGGCAGCAGGCTCCCTTCCCAAAGTCTGGCTCCTCCCCTGGTGAGCAGTGTCAATCCAACTGCTTCAGCCCAAGTGATGTATCATGGTGCGTGGAAGCATTTGAGGCTAGTGCTGGACCCCTGCCCAGCCTCCCAACCTGCTGTGGGCCCCCAGGAACTGCTGAGCCACAGCCCACAGAGTCCCCATGCAGTTCTGTGTTCACCCCGCCTTGCACAACGCACTCCCTCAGACACATAGCATGACTTGACCTGAGGGAAGAACAGATCCCATTTTGCAGAAACTTGAACTAATACTTCCTAAGACCACAGTGAACATCTCTCCCCATCCCTCTGCATTGCAAGTCCCGATGGAGCTTGAAGAGACAGTGTCCTGAGCATGTGCTGGTGGCCAGGCCCTGACTCGCTCATAATCAGTAGGTATAGATGGGAACTGCACTGAGGCTGTGGCAGCCACACTGGGGCTCACTGGCACCATGCAGGACCCTTGTACAATGCCAGGGAGAAGTGGTCCCTCCTGAGGGGCATCACGCACAGCCCAGAGCCAGGTCAGGTTCATACTTGGCACTGCCTGGGAGCTCGGCCTTGACGGCGCTCACTGGCTCCTCTATCCACAGGGCCCTCCAGGTCCACAGGCTCTGCTCAAGGAGCACCTCATCACCCCTGAGGGATGGGGGCTGTGGTTGGTACCTGCAGCCCTGGCTCCCAGGATGCTGCTGGTGCTGCTGTGGCCTGGTGAGCCAGAGTCTCGGAGAACCATCCCAGGACATGGGGGCTGCCTGGGCCACCCCATTGGTCCAGCGCCCTCCAGGGATGCCTGAGGTCAGACAAGTCAGCCCGACAATGCATTCCCCTGCATTAAGAACATACAACCAAGTCAGGACAGCACGAAAGGAAAGTGCTAAGAAGAATAAAATCACAAAGATGTGGGGGGTCTCTAAGTCCAGAGGAGGCACTGGAGACCGACGTCCTCCTGGGGCTCTGCCTGGTTCTGACCTCGGTTTGTGACTCTGCAGCCCTGGTTTCTCTGGTGACGCAGCAGCACATCACCCCTTCTAACAGCGAAAGTGACCTCATGAAGACGTACGGCTCTCCAGCCCAGGGGCCATGCTCTCTCCGCTGTTGAGCCCGCTGTGGTGGTCACACGTCTACTGGAGACCCACAGAGGGGACCGAGGCTGGGTGGTGACTGGCTCAGCGAGTGTGTGCCCTGATGCCATTGCACGCCTCACACCGAGTTCACCCTTCAGGGTGGACAGGTCGCAGCGTCACTGAGAGTCTCATGGGAGTGGGAGAGAACCACCAGTCTGAGACTAAACGTGGATGTCATTCAGTTCCTTTTCGTTGTATTTTCTGAAGGGATGTCTCTCAAGCAGCACCAGTGACCCTTGTGTGTTCAGAAGGAAAAACGCAGCATTTACACTTTATTTGTGACATAAAGAAGCCATATTTACACAATACATTCATATTTTTAAATATGTTACACAGCTCTCCTAGAAAACCACTCCATCACAGAACAGCAGCATGTAGCTTGGGTTCCGTCTTTAAAATTTAAATCAAGTAGAAATACTCTTAATTTCACAGCCCATCACAGAGGGAGACTCTGAGGGAGGTGGGAGTGAAGGGCGGGTGATGGTGAGTACACCCCCACGTGAGGGTACAGGAGACTGGAGGCTGGGGACGCACTCCTGCCCCTGTGACCTCCGAGGCCAAGGACGAAGCACCCCTTCCTGCCGTGCCCTTGGGGCGGCTCTGAGGGTGCAGCACCAGGAGCTACGCAGGGCCAGCACCCTGGACCTGGCTGGTCACCTTCTCGCCTGTGGGCTCCTCCGAGCCCTCGCGTTCCCTGTTCCAGTCCTTCAGGCCCTCAGGGAGCGAGGTGTCCTCGTCCAGGCTGCCGGTACCTTCCACAAACTCCTCATACGTAGACTTCTCCGCAAATGGCCTGGGGCCCAGAAGTTCCACCATGTCGTTCTTGTCTAACACTTCTTTTTCTAACAGCAGCAGAGCAACCTGGAACATGAACACGTGCGATTAAATACAGCCACCCAGCGCCATCGCTCCAAGCTAACCTTTTATTTACAACCAACCCCCTTTCAAAACAGGGCTTCAAGAACTTCACTCTAACTTTTAATAAGAAGATCTTATTAAAATAGCTCTTCACCCACACTAACTTTTAATAAGAAGTATAAAAATCCTGGAAAACACATGTCCCCAGGAAGGGCAGGGTGGCATGCAATGTGGTGTGACTCTGTGCCCTGCTGGGGACGTAGGGTGGGGAAGGAGCTCTGCACATGTGTCGAGGAGGAACAACCCCAAGGAAGAGCAAGAAGCTGTGTCCCTGGACCCCACCCCCTTCCAAAGGAGGCAAGAGCTCCCCGTGTCTCCCAGAGCAAGAACTCTGGGGAGGCTGCAGGAAGAAGTGACACAAGTGGGGGGTGGGGACGAGGAAAGGATAGAAATAGTGGATTTTAAAGGGAGGCTGACAAAAAAAGAGACAGACACAAACATGTATCTCCAAGTTCTGGTCCCTGTGTGGCTGAACTGTAAATGTGACAGGACACATGGCCACAGAAAAAGGGGGCCCACCAACTACTAGAGGGGAGGTAAGCGATGGTGTCCATGGGCAGGAAACAGCTCACATGAGAGCCTCTGTCACCAAGAAATGAAGCCAGTTAAACTGTACATAGACCTCCTAGTAGACGCAGTTCCTCAGGTGACTGCCAACTTGGAAACTCATCACATGTGTAGTTTATGTTAAATGCTGTTTTTAAAGATTCTAAACAATAAAGCAATTTTCTTCTGTTTTTAAAGTTTTTTTAAACTTTATTATGGATCATTTCAAATATGTATCAAAAATACATAGAAAAAAAGGATAACTAACCCCATGCAACCACGTTCAAGATCATTTTTGTTCCACCTGCTCCCTGGATTATTTTGGAGAAAATCCCAGATGTCCTGTCGTTTTATCCACATGTTTGTCTCTAACTCTACGAGACACAGACTCTTCAACTCTCAATGCTGAGGACCCGGGTTCAGTCCCTACTAGGCAACTAAGATCCCCGTTGCTCCAGAGGGGAAAAGCAATGGGGAACCCCACCAGGCCAGTAGGCCTGCAAAGCACCTGGCAAGGTGAGTGCAGATTCAGCTGTGTGTCTGGTACTATGAGCAGACTTCATTAATCCCACATTCAAGTTCTCATGAGGCAGGGGCCAAGATCGTGCCCGCCTCTGCTCTCCGTCATCCCCACCAACAGAGCATCAGGACGGAGGGAGGAACTGGGATCACTGGGCACAGGGGGAATGGTGCCATCTGCAAAACAGCCAACCAATCACCCTCAACGGCCTCTGCAAACCATGCAGAGGAGTGTTCCTACAGTTGGCACCTACCTTCTCCACGTCAGCTTTCTTCTCTGTGAGGAGGGCCACTGTCCTCTTGTAAGCATCGTTGATAAGGATTCGTACTTCATCATCTATGAGTCTGGCGGTGGCCTCGCTGTAAGGCTTCTCCAACACCATGTCCCCCTGACGTGGGAGGTCAAAGGAGATCTGCCCAACCTTCTCGTTCATGCCAAACTGAACAATCTAAAGAAGAAGGCGTGGCCAGTGGTGGGCATCCATTTCTGCTCACAGGCTCATGGGTTTTATAAAATGTCAACAGGGCAACATGGACGCTGAATGCACACACTACTGCAGAACTACTCTTCAACCCAGCAAAATGACATGGAAGCCTTGAGTCGGCCAAGTAGACCAGGTGTTCTGCATAGACAGGGCAGTGGAGACAAGACCAGAAACCAGCAGACAATATCTACAACCAAGACAGGCAGCAAACAGGTGGGGACAGACCCCAGCAGTCACGACACGTGCGTGAGATCACTCTGCACGAGGGGCGGCAGGAGGAGCCAGAGCCTGTGACAGACGGAAGCCACGACCTTGGGCACCCAGAGGCTGCTCCTGTGTCACCTGGGCTGCTCCAGGAACCCAGGGGGGTGCCTGCACTCTCCCTGAGTCCCTGGGGCCTGGCTGGGCTGTAGAGACCCCCACAGTAACCACACAGAGCCCCACCTTAAAAAGAAACGTCCAGAAGTAAAATCCAAACTGACTAGAAAAGAGGAGGTGTAGGTAAGAGAGGGGAGCAGCAACAGCTCAGAAAGCAGGAAGCACATTTTTCAAAAGTTCATGAAAACAACAGAAAAAGATACTCTAAAACCATGAAACTAGAAACACTGTCTTAATCCACCTTCTTCCTAAAAGATCAGGAAAACAAACTTCATGCAGATAAGAAAGTGGGATGCAGGGACGTCCACAAACAGATGAAAACTGTGACCCAACTTCAGAAAAGACTAACCAAAATCAGGAATGTGAGGAAAATATGAAATAACAACAGAAGTCAGAGTTGGGAAAACTTAGATGAGGTGCTAGAACACAGGAAAATGAAAAAAAAAAATCACAGTTGAGGAGTTCCCAAAGTTACTGACATCGAGCTCTGAGAGCACCCTGACCGTTTCTGGGAATGGAGGCAAATGGGGTGCGTGTGGGGTGGGTGCACGGGGTGACTGCTCCAGCTTAAGGGGAGTCCACGTGGGGTCCTGCAGGTTTGAAACTAGACTTAAACTCTGCAGACACGCTTCACACACTCTCAGTAAATCCAAAATACTGAGTGACAAATGTAAGTTTCTATTCCTAAGTTTTGATCACCTTACACTGAACCTCTCTGAAGGAGGAACTCTCGCCTGGTCAGCCGAGGCCAGTGGAGCCAGGGCTGCTTCGGAGCCTGCATGGCGGCGAGGAGGCAGCCCACCCATCCTCTCACCTGGGCATAGGCACTCTGGGTCACTTTGCGCAAGTCGTCCTGGGCACCAGTAGTGATCCTGCCAAAGAAGATCTCCTCGGACACGCGGCCGCCCAGGGTCATGCACATGCGGTCCAGGAGCTGCTCCCGGGTGTAGAGGTACTGCTCCCGGGGCAGGTACTGAGCATAGCCCAGCCCTTTGCCCCGTGGGATGATGGACACCTGGCGAGGGAACAGCAGCACTGAGCACCTGGCCGCTGGAGCCGACAAACTCACTGGTGAGCAGAGCACCATGGCTGGGCAACCCCATGGCCTCAGCCAGGCAGCTGGGTGGGCAGCTGGTCCAGGAGAGCATTTCCTCTTGGGATAACCTCACCCCAAGTGACTCCTACACAGTGCTTCTGTCCCTTACAAAACCCGTCTGCGAATGTCCAGGCCTGACAGTAGGGCTGCTCCCCTGCCAACCTGACCCACTGGAGTGAATCCCTCCAGCTTCCACTTTTCTTTCCAAACTCTGTAACTCATCCATGTGTGATGCATCCCCCCAGTGCCATTGGCAGATGTTCCCACTACGTCCCCCCCAGCCACTCACCTTCAGGAGGGGGTCCGCGTGCTCCAGGTACCAACCGGCAACTGCGTGGCCTGCCTCGTGGTATGCCACTGTCTTCTTCTCCTCGGGCTGTAGGACCTGGGTTTTCTTCTCTAAGCCTGACATACAGAACAGAAAACAAAACCTGCTGCTTTAGCGACAACATCATCAAGAGAGGCT